ATTGTGGGCATTGATTGTTACCATGACACCCTCTCTGGGAAGCAGTCGGTTGCGGGCTTTGTCTCCAGCCTGAATCAAACAGTCACCCGGTAAGATCTGAGTGCCAGAGGTAAAAAAACCCCAAAACACTAAAAATAACCTTTCCTTGGACTGAAAAACAGCTTCCATGTGGTGATCCATCAAGAAAATTCAAAATTAGTTTGCTGTAATGGATAATATGAAATGTGTTGTGAATTTTTCCCACTGCATCCCTTGAAGGAGTGGCCTTGTCCCACATTGCTTGAGAGAGGGGTCAAGTGGTGGAGACACAGCTGGGATGAATAGAGAGCGTCAGGGTGACAGGGTCTTTCCCCTTTTGACTAGTGTGAAAGGCTGTTCTTGGTTGAGAAGAATTTTAAGTTGTGCTACGGCACTTCTGCCACAGGGGGAATATTCTCGTAGAACTCCAGCTCTTCCTTGGCTGCACTGACCCACAACACCCCTAAAGACTAAGTGGTCGTGGGCATTTTAAAAATAACTTCATTGCAGTAAGCCTGGGAAATGCTTTGAAGGCCTCTTTCATTTTGTTCTTCACAGGTGGTTCTCCCGCTGCGTTGTTCAAAGTCGTGGGCAGGAACTTGTGGATGGACTCAAAACCTGCTTGCAAAGTAAGGAAAGGAGTTCTGCTTTTGTGGAACCAGATCTAAGAACTGACAATTCAGCTTCCTCAAAACCTTCCTCTCCTGCTGCCCTGGGAGGAGGCTTTACCAGCCAGCACTTGGATAACAACAGATTAAACATTCTGTTGTAAATACTGCTGAAAATAATAGCATCTTGTTAAATCTTTCACTGATTCCCACATTCCTTTGCAATAATTAAAAACTACTGAGCAGTGCCCTTCCAAGAATGCTTTAAGGGAGTGTGATTTTAAAGAGGACAGCTCCTGCTATGAGAGAGGCCAGCAGAGCAGGTGTGTCCTTGGGTCATTTCTGGTTTTGGGTGCACAGGCAAACCAGAGCTCTTCCTTGCAGGTATGTTTGTGTTGCATGATGCTGACCCATTTCACTGGCTTAGTGTAGGATTGAGGACCTTGGTTTTCCAAATTACTGCTGTTTTTCTAGGAATAAAAACCCATTCTTGTTTTGGAATGAATTGTCATTACAATTAATGGCTTTTTCTCTTATTTTTTTAAGCTGCTCTGAGGAACTGGGCTAAATGGAATAAGTGCTTGCCCTCTCGTATTTTTGTGTATCGTGATGGTGTTGGAGATGGACAGCTCAACACTTTGGTTAATTATGAAGTGCCTCAATTTCTGGATTGCTTGAAGAGTATTGGTACTGACTACAGGTAAGTCGCTTTCTACCAACCCTGTTCTTTACACTGCCAGAGAAATAATCTTTGGGATACAAAATGAGACTATGGATGAAGACTTGTCTTTCCATCTGAGCTGATTTTCTGACCTGAGCTCAGATAGCTGCTTTTCTGATGATTATTCAGATACTTGACTTGTAATATAATAGGAAAATTCTTAGTACATGCACCACATGACTGACACACACATGTGGGCACATCCACTCTTTGGGCATTCTTGGTGGATGTGATAATTTACTTTTGCTCCACTGGCTGGTCACAGCCTGATTGTTGTGTGTCTGCTAAGGCCATTTTTTTCCTTACCACCTCTTGAAGGAAGTTGTCCAATCACTTACATTTTCAACTTTCTGCTTTGAAACTTATCAACTGCAGTGACTTAATCTGCTCTGAAAAATAAAAATATTTCCTTACACTGCAGGCAAGCAGAGTATTGAAATGCTCAATTCTTCTGTTTAGCTTTGTTAATGGCTTTACCAAAAATACTGTTAAGACACAGTGTTTTATAAGGAAACAATGGGATAGAGAATAGAAATCCAGTTTTTATTTAGAAGATCCCTTTTTGATCCATTTTCTTCTCCGTGAAGTTAAAGGAAAGTTGGATTGGTGAAAAACAGTGTGAATGTTGTACCTTAACTAAAAAAATCTGAAGTTGTGAACAATGTCTTGTTTAGTTTGAATCAGTAAAGACTTGCATGTGAAATGAATGCCCTGGAGCTCCAGCAGATCTGCTCCTGAAATACTACTAGTGCAGTTTTCTAGGAGAGTATTGGTTTTTCCCTTTTCCTTTCTTTTAGCCCGAAACTCACTGTGATTGTGGTGAAGAAACGAGTGGGTGCCAGGTTCTTTGCAGAGATTGGTGGAGGACTCAGAAACCCACCCCCTGGGACTGTTGTTGATACGGTGGTGACCAGACCAGAGTGGTGAGTTCCTGCAGAGGTGACACTGCTGCTGCCAGCAGCCTGGTCACAAGGGAAATACATCCCACAGTGCATGGACTGTAGGACCAAGGGTGAAAATACTTCCCACACTTCTGTGGCTCAGGGAGAAAATGAGCAGTGTAAGCTACGTGCACATGCAGGGTGGTTATCAGGAGGAAAATGAGACAGAACAAATAGTTAAGGTTGTTCTGGTCTCAAGACCTGGTCCATGGAATAAGATTATGTTCCTCCAGGTCTCCTTCCTCTCAGACACAGAGGAAGCTTTTGTGGCCAGAGCCTAGGCATCCTCCTGGGGTTTACTCAGTAAGCATAGGTGACTCAGAGAACAAGGCAAACACCTGGGGAGCTGCCTTCTCCCGAGAACAGCCCCTGCTGTGACAGTGCTGTGCTTCCCTGGGCAGGTATGATTTCTTCATCGTGAGCCAGACGGTGAAGAGCGGCTGCGTTGCACCGACCCATTACAACGTGGTGTACGACACCAGCCAGCTGAAACCCGACCACATGCAGCGCCTCACCTACAAGCTGTGCCACATGTACTACAACTGGTCGGTGAGTGTTCCTGCTGGGGCAGGCACAGCCTGCAGGAGGGCAGGGCAGGGGGCCTGCAAACACCTGCGGCTCCAGAAAGCCTGCAAGGATGCCTTGGCACCTAGAGCGTTTTGAGGAGTGCATGGCTTATAGTTACCTCATCTCTCTGAAGATTACAGTAGCATGTATTCTCCCTAGCATACACCTCTTGTGAGTATTGTTCCCAAATTCTGTGTCAGAAGCAGAATGGAAGGCATTTGTTACCTGCAGAAGCATCCACTCCTGTGTGTGCAGGTGGAGCTGTGTGGCTGCCTCAAAGCCGCTGCTGCACGGCCAGCTCAGCACAGCCAGCTGCTGCCCGAGGTGTGCTTCAGCCGTGTCACTCTAGCAGCCAGGAACAGAGACACGACTGTCCCACCCTCTGCAAGGCCAGCCCTGAACAGAAACCTGTGTCAGAGGTGTCAGGAGGGCACTGGGCTTGGGAAGTTTGGGGTTTTTTGCATCTCTTCTTCTGTTGTGTTGGGTGTACGTAAAGTTATTTTCACAAATCAGCATAAACAACAGGGAATACAGATTTTACAAGTATGCAGACTTTGGAGGTCCAGGGGTCTTTGTTACAGTGCCTGCATGCTTATTTAAATTACCTGAAATAATTGCCTTTTTTTCTTTTTCCCCCTTTCTACAGGGTATTATCAGAGTACCTGCTCCTTGCCAGTACGCTCATAAATTGGCTTTCTTTGTGGGTCAGAGTATTCACAGAGAGCCGAACATGGTGCTTTCAGACAGACTGTACTACCTTTGAAGCTGAGTTACCAGCCAAACAGAAGAGAGTAGTTCCTCTCTAGGGAAGGTAGAATTGTCTGGGCTTTTGGTTTAGTTTTGGTTTTTCATGAGAGACATGCACAGGATGTCTGCAGTTGTGGAAATTATTTTATTTTCATTGTACCAAGGAAAAGCTTGAGATTTCATTTTGAACAGGTGTCTGCTTGCTAGAATAACTACACAAATTGTTATGATTTTTGATACTTATTTAGTTAAGTTTTTCTCTGTTCTTCCCAACAGTTTATTGGTTGTTCTTATTTACATTTTGAGAAGTCTTACACAGAATTATTTCTTGCATGGGAGATAGAGAGTTATGCAGAACAGAATCCAAACTCTTCCAGCTAATATTTACCCTTCTAATTCTCAAAGTGCTTCAATATTGTTGATTCCTTGTTTTCTTGGTTAAAATGAGGGCCAAATTTGCCTCCTGAGCTGTGTCATACCGTAAGAGGAGGTGACCAGATGCTCTTGCTTACCAGGGCTTTGTTTGAAGGCTGTACAGCGATGCAGAACCCTGGAGGGGTTTTAAAGTTCCTTGTGAGGGATTTGCAAACCAAGCACAAAGGCTGGTGCTGCAGAGGGGAGCGCAGGGCTGGGGCAGCTCTGTGTGTGCCAGCTGCACCCCTGGCTGTGCCAGCTGCACCCCTGGGGCACAGCAGTGAGCGCTGGGGCTGAGCCTGGAGCACCCTGGGCACAGGGACTGTCCCGGGGCTGTGCTGTGCTGTGTCTGTACCTCCAGGGTCACTGCCAGCTGGAGGAGAGGGCTGAGACAGCTGCACCTCCAGCTCTGGGGGGAGCTGGTTCAGCCCTGGGGGGAGCTGAGCTGCTGGGCTGCTGCTGCTTCACACAGGCTTCTCCACTGAGAAATGCCATTTGCACCGAGGAGAATAGTGCACTGCCAGGCTGGGGCTTTGGTTTTGTACTTCCAAGCAGTGGGAAGCAGCCCTGGTTTGTTCATGTCTGAGCTTTTCACTGGTCACTGTTGTGCAGCCCATTTTGTGAAACTACTGCTACTACTTCACGTGGAGAGATTCAGATTAGTGCTGGTTTCCTTAACCACCTTGTTGTGAACCTTGTTGTTTTTCTCTGTGAGATTTAAATAAAGTTGTTGCTGTAATCCTTGCCCGTCTGAGCCCGTTCTGTGTATTTTGTACTTCCCCACGGGGCTTTGGGCACAGATGGGACAATTGCTGGAGTAACTTTGCAACCCTTTTTTACCTCTGGGAAGCTCCTGCGCCCTTGCAGCTAGAGGAGCCTTTCTTTATTCTGCAGTAAGCTTCAGAGGCCACTGACAGGTCTGAAAAGAGGCTGACACGAGAAGCCAGCAGAGGACACAGTGGATTTATGAAACGTACTGCACTCTACAAAATATCAAATTATTTATTTATATAAAATATAATACACAACAATTGTACACATGCACACACCCACACAGTACTTTACCACAACTGTAGGCCAGTTATTTTCTTTAATTAAATGTTATAATCTAGCACACGGTATTTTACAGTAATTTACATTGTTATCTGAAGACACAATGGGGAAGCTTTGATCATTCATTTATAAACCTTCCATAAATTACAAAAAGAAAGGCAGTCTGAAAAGTATGTATAAACAGTAAAAACAATTTACAAATGGACAAGAATTACAAAATAGTAACAGCCAATGACTGCCATCGGTGTGTGGGATTATTTTTTGTGATATGCCAATGTTGAATTCTGATTTGATTGGAGCCTGCAGCAGCCCTGGGTGGGCTGTGGCTGTGACCCAGTTTGTCCTTGCACTGTGGATGGACTTTAGCCTCAACCTGACAGCAGCAGTGTGAAAATGCCTTTTAACCTAGGGCTGGACCTCCACAGGGAAACACGGGGGAGTGGAAAGGGGTTGTGGAGTTGGTTTTTCCCAGTGGCTTAGGACAGGGAGCCCCAAAACTGGAGGCTGGGGAGCTGAAAGGGGTGAGGGTCTGCGGAACTTACCCTGCCTGGGTCCGGTGGAGTGAGAATGACAGACCAGGACAAGGCTTTGGTTTTTACTGGGGCAGCAAAAACTGAAAAGCGTTTAGCACAGCACTTCCACTCTCCCAGGAGCTGTCAGACATGGATGGGGGCAGTAACAGCATTATCTGGAATTCCGTGGTGGAGGGAGGATGGAGACAGCTGAATACACAGTACATACAAAGGATACGCTGCATATTTATTAGACAGTACAAATCATTGTGCATTAATAAGGCAAACATCAAGGCTGATTTAACTAGGAGTTTCAAGACCATTTCTGTTAATGACTGGATCAGTGGGGTGATCTCTCTGAACTAGCAATCAGTGAGGACAGTTTTCTCCCCTCACTCATGGTTAAAGGAGGCTAAAGGCTGAGATTTTTCCAATGGAGTTGTAGGTGTTGAGGTGACTTCAAATAAAACCATGTTCTTCTGGTCTTAATCCCACAACTATTTTTTTTTTTTTTAATTTTTAAAAAATGTTTTTGCAACAATAAATCCATTTCCCTTTTTTCTCACTGTTTTGATTAAGCAATTGGCATGATTCTATTGATGTCAAAAATGCAAAGGTCTGGTAAAGTACTGCATAGTCATGAAAGCCCTAGTTTTGACTTAAAAAAAAAAAAAAGTACACAGACTGGAAGCTTTACAAGTTGTCCAGGAGCACATGACTCATTTCACTGCACCAAGCCTTTTCAGCAGTTTCTTGCCTTTGGAAAGCAGCCCCTTTTTCTTTTTCGAGGCCATATCCCTGCCTCTCCCGGGACTACCAGAGCCCATCACCGGTGACGGAGGTGACCCGGAATGGAGATGGACTGTGGGGGATGGAGCTCTCCGGGGTGTACCTGTATTCTCAGGAGGAACCTATTGGTACATTGTTATCATTTATTCAATCTTTGAACGCTTCAAAGCCATCAGCAGCAAGAAACTTGGCAACATCACCTCTCCCATTACCCACTTAAACAAAAGGGCTGGTTTCTTACTTCTCTCTGGCTTAAAGTACTGCATGGGCTTATGGAAAATACATCCATTTAGAGAAATAAAATAGAAATAGAAAACCCACCAATAAAGCCCAGTTTTGGTTATACCTTTTTAAAGGAAAAGTTGGATACACTTGCTTTGCCAGAATTCTGGCCACAAAAGCCAAAAAATTGGCTTTGGTTTTTCATTTCAGTACTAATAGTACTAAAATGGAGAGGGATACGTTCAGCTATAGATTTAAGAAAAATAAATATGTTAATTACTACAGATTAGCAATCTATAGACGCCAAACTCTTTTCAGAATAAATTACTTAAAATGCTACATGATCACTTACTTTTTAATGTCCTTTAAATGCCTTTTCTTTAAAATGGGCTAGCAAACTTTATGTACAGATTAGAGAAGATGGCACATTGGCTTAAAAAAAAAAAAAAAAAAAGAAAAAGAAAAAGCTAAAATGAACCTTAATTGCAATCAAAGAAAGCTTAAAGGCCCTGAGTGCTTGATGTGTTTGCTGCAGCTATGAGGTTGTTAGATGACAGCATTCCTAAATATTTTGAACAGCTTTTTTTTTTTTAGTCATTAAAAGCACTTGGATGAAAATGCTAAAATTACAAATACTCAGCCTAGACTAACTACAGTGCCCAGCTGGCAAAATGGTTGCTATCAATTAAGATGATATTTTCATAGCAGAATCCATGCTGTAGGGAGGCCTGCTAGCTTTTAGTTCAAGTTAAAACATCAGCAATTTACTGGCCTGTTGTTCAACAGTGAGTTAAGCAAAGGGGCTTCAAGCCTACTTTGATTTTAAATCAAGGTCTAATTCTAATGAAAAAAAAAAAAGAAAACCAAACCAAAACAACTTGGTAAAGCACCCCAACGTACACCTGAAGATACCAGATATCGAGTCTAATGCATTCATTCAGTGAGCTGCATGTTTCAGGTCGAGACTTTTATTGCATTGGTAAACCAAACAGTTGCTAATATTGCAAACATACACTCGCTAGGAAAATCCGAGTAAATTGTACCACAGGAGGGATTTTATTCAGAAGTGTTGAATAGTTGGTCTTAGGCAAACTGGGGAATAATCGATTGTGGAAAACCCATGTTAAGGCAGACAATTTAAGCAGTGAGTTTGAGTGCAGTGAGTTTCAGAACCAACTATCCCCGTGTGAGCTACCGTCCGTGCCAGCCTCACGCTGGCTCTGCAGGGCTGCAGCTGTTGTGCTTTTCTCGTGACACAGGAGCTTGGAATTTTTACATCCCAGCTTGGCTAGCAATGCAATATGCAGCTTTGGTTGGAGGGCAGTTAGACATCAAACTCTCCTCTCTATGTAAACATAAACACTGAGCTCGGGAAGAAATATGTTCCAAACGCTGACCTTGGGAAAGGGAGGGCCCATCGATTTCAGAGGGTTCCTGTTTTAAAGGATTTGTCTCCCAAGAAAGGAGTGGCCTTGACTAGGTACAGCAAAGGCATTCAGCCTGTTCTTTGTGGCCAAGGGGTTTGGAGACATATTTCTTTTCTCTTCCCCCACAATTAAGTTTCAAGACTTGCATTAGATAGCCAGGTAGCTTTAATTGAAATCTCTATTGGTATCTTCAGTTGCTCACTTACGTGAAGGCTACATTGCCTTATTAAGGTGTGAAATGAACACTCTTCTTCTGTTTCCAAGCAGATGAGCAAAGAAATAAAAATATATATAAAATATATAATATATAAAAGTATTGCAGTGATGAAACAAAACCAAAAATGAGATACTCTAAACATGGTTAATTCTTTCATGAAAGAGAAGTCTCTGAGCAATTAATTATTGCCAGTTGGAACAGGAAGTTGTAAGGATTAAGAGACGACCACCATCAGTCCATCAGCTGCAGTTACAGTTTGTATTTAGAGGAACACTGGTACCAGTCTGTTTTGCACAAGAACTTTTTTAGCAAGAGCAATTTAGAAGCTTTGGGAAATGGCCAGGAAAGAGCTGCTTAAGCTCAGGTTATGAAGGACGGTACTGTAATGACTGCAATCAAACAGCCAATTTAGTTTCTCCAATTACAAATGTAACGAGCTAGCGAAGGCTAAAGTCATTTTCCCTCCTGTTTTATTTTATATATTTGAAAGATAATTTTAAATGGGCAAATGAATTTAAAAGTAATGTTAAAAGTAATGTCTAAATTATACGTGAGACAGAATGAAATGGAAAATGAAAATTCAAGTGTTTCTTAGGGGTTGCTTACCCTTTTTGCCTTGGCTCTCATGGGCGTGTCATGGGCGTAGCGCGAGGGTGCGTCGGAGAGAAAGACTTCAACATCGTCAGGCACTTCTTCGAGGAAGTTGGAAGGAACCAGCCCCTTCTGTCCATTGAGCTCTCCCTGTGGGCAGAGGGGAGGCTCAGCAAGGGCTTTCATCTCACCACATTTATTCCCAAGGGGCAGGGACGTATTTGTCACAGAATCACAGAATTACTGCATTGGAAGAGACCTTCAAGATCATCGAGTCCAACCTGTTCCCTGACACCTCAACTAAACCCTGGCACCCAGTGCCACATCCAGCCTTTGTTAAACACATTCAGGGATGGTGACTCCACCACCTTCCCGGGCAGACGATTCCAGTACTTTATCACCCTTTATCAACAATTCCAGTACTTTATCACCCCTTTTTGCCTATTTCAAAGCTGGCGAGGAAGAGGAAATTCCCATCTCAGGTCCCTGGGGAGGCTGTGAGCGCACACAATTCCACATCCCCTCCCCAGGCTGGTGTTTGGTAGCGGGTGAAGCTGGGAGCAGTTAGGGGTGAGCCAGCAGACCCAACTTACATAGTAAAATCCATCTTCATCGATCTCACCAAAGACAGTGATGATGTCCCCAGTGCAGAACGTCAGCTCGGCCTGCGGGGAAGGAGCAGGGACAGGCAGCTCTTAGGCAAAGATCAGCCTTTATTGATAGGGAAACCATTCAGATTTCTGCCCACTCTTCATGTTAAAGACTCTGGTGAAACCAAACTGATCTTTGAGAGCCAAACCTCTTGTTTTATCCCTCTGGGATTTTTCCTCAGCTTGCTAAGCCTGGCCCCTGTCCCGCTGTGTGTGGACATCCACAGGGCTCCCCGTGACCAACAGCCAACACATTCAGGCCTTGCAGAACCTGCACAAGCTCTGAAGCTCTGAACTGCAGCTTCAAAGGGCCCCTAAATCCATCCTGGTGGAGGGGGACCAGCTCAGGGGCGGGACATGCCCAGCTCTGCCCTGTGTGAGGTGCAGAAGAGCTCAGGGAGCTGCTCGGGGTGCAAGGCACCTCTGGACATCCTCCAGCCCAATTCCTGAGGCACAATGTTCCTGCACTGGAGCTGTTCTGGATTCTCTTCAGCAAAACCTTCACAGTGGGCAGCTCCACTCTGATCAGCACACAGTGCACTGGGCTCTTTTAATTGCCTGTGGCTTAAATGTAATTAGGGCGGGGCCTTTAAATTATGTTTAATTTCCTGTGGTCATGGGAGAGAGAACAAACAAAATCTTTGCAATACATCAGCACAATTTATTTGATTTGTTGGCCAAACTACTTTGAAACACCATAATTTAGAAAAATATTTGGTTCAATAAGAAACAGAAAACAACCCAGGCTGTGTTTCAAAGCGCCAACTCCCACATATTTCAAAATTCACTTTCTCCTTTAAAAAATTCCAGAGTGTTCTACAATTCACCAGTTACAAACAAAACCAAACAACATTTAAAGGATGACTAAGGGAGCTCCCAGGTTCTGTGCCCCCAGCCCCAGCCCCAGTTTAGCTCGGCCCCTACCTCCACGTCCACGTTGGGGGAGCTCTCCCTGGGGTCGTAGTCATAGAGGGCCACCATCCTCCGGGTGGTCAGCGGCTGCTGCCGGCCACCGCGCCGGCCGCGCTCTGCTCCGGCGGGGCACGAGGCAAGAGAGAGAGTTACTGCTACAGGCACGGGGGTTACTGGTACTGCATTGCTGCTACAGGCACAGGGGTTATTGGTACTGCATTACTGCTACAGGCACAGGGGTTATTGGTACTGCATTACTGCTACAGGCACAGGGGTTATTGGTACTGCAGTTATTGGTACTGCAGTTATTGGTACTGCATTACTGCTACAGGCACAGGGGTTACTGGTACTGCATTACTGCTACAGGCACAGGGGTTACTGGTACTGCATTACTGCTACAGGCACAGGGGTTACTGGTACTGCATTACTGCTACAGGCACAGGGGTTACTGGTACTGCATTACTGCTACAGGCACGGGGGTTATTGGTACTGCAGTTATTGGTACTGCAGTTATTGGTACTGCAGCTCCTGCTAAAATTACTGTAGTTATTGCTGAAGGCACTGCAGTTACTGCTAAATTACTGCAGTACTTGGTACTGCAGTTACTGCTACACTTGCTGCAGTTATTGGTACTGCAGCTCCTGCTAAAATTACTGTAGTTATTGCTGAAGGCACTGCAGTTACTGCTAAATTACTGCAGTACTTGGTACTGCAGTTACTGCTACACTTGCTGCAGTTATTGGTACTGCAGCTCCTGCCAAAGCACAGCCCTGCTGCAGCTACTGCTCACGGCCTCCCCAGCAGAGCAGGAGCAGCGTGGGCACTGCTCTGGCACAGGTGAAAGCCATAGTGGCCACAGGAACACGGGCAAAGGCGTGCAGCCAGCACGCTCACACACTGTGACCAACAGGGTCTGGCTGTCTCTGTTCCGAGGCACAGAACCCTCAGACACTGTGCCCAGCAGACTCCACAGTCAGGGACTGTGTTCTGTGCCAGAAATATTTCAGGACACAGAACCCTTTTTTTTTTTTAATTTTTTTTTAATCAGGAAAGAAAGCAGTAAGTGGAGTGGTGAAGCTGCAGGTCCCCATTTGCAGCAAATGCTGTCACCAAGATTAAATATTGGTTGTATAAAGTCATCCAGGCACTGACACAGAAAGTATCCCCTGGGGCAGTAAATAACTGCAAAATGTAGATGGATCTGCATGAAAACAAGAGGCAAAGTGGATGCAGCCAAGCTAAGAGACCCAAAGTGTGAAGTCTGTTTCCCCTTACCGATTTTCTCAATTGGAGTATTCAAAGGAAGGAAACCTTGCTTAAGGAGCTGATCCATCATCTCTTCATCATCTGCTTGTATCTCAGAGACCATGTTACATGGGATAAGGCCAACCCTTGCACAGGTTTCCCCACGGTAAAATCCATCAGCATCTTTGTCCCCATAAACCTGATATTCAAAGAAAGATAATATTGGTCAAGAAGGTTTTAGCATTTAGGAACTTTAGTGTAGGCTAAGGGTTACTAAAGCATAGATGACAACTGCGGTTTAGATGTGGAATTATATTAATTTTGGACCACTCTGACTTGGGTTATAAAACTGGAATTGTTATATTAATTTGAATTGCGACTTCAGATACATAAGCAGAATTTGGACTTTTTTTTTTTATTGTTTTTGGCAGTGAAAGGGACAAAAATGTACATTAAAAGCCATCAGTTTCTTGCTGTGCTGAGCCAGATGTTTACTTGATGTTTATGGAATTATTATGGCACTATATTCAAAGTGAATATATTATAATATATATAACCTGACTTAATATATTAAAAAAACCCTGACTGAAATACACATCCTTGCAGAGGAAAATAAACTCTTAAAGTTCTTTTTTTTGGCATAAACAACATAACGTGTGAGGCAAGCAAAACACTGAAGGAAGTATTTAACAGCAAAAAGCCTGTGAGTTAGGTGCAGGCATTTGTGTTAGGACCCAGCCCAGCACAGTGGAAGGCAGTCAGTATTTTAACAGCTCTAATTACAATTTAATATCTGAAATGGGTGATGTCCAAAGGACTGGGTACCCTGACAGAGCTCAGCCTGCCCAGCCCTGCTGGGCCTTGGCAGATGCCGTGGTGTTCCACACCAAAGTGTCAGAAAAGGGAACAGGACACCCGATTTAGGGCCTGAGTTCACCTGAAGTGTGTGTTAGCCAGCAGAGCTCAGCATGTAGAAAATGCAGCAGCTCTGGCTTGGTACAGCACCTGCACTTCTGGGGCTCCTCTGCAGCAAAGATGCTCCCTGAAGCAGCTCCTCCGGCAGGGTTTGTGGCAATGGACATCGGGAGCCTCAGAGCCACAATCTGGGGCTTAACCCAAATCTTTAATACAGACTGGCCCTAACTATCTACAGCAACTTCGAGATTTTTGCCCATTTTGAGATTATTTTAAGCCATTAGCCCTGGATATTAATTCCCAGGTCTGGTGAGACTCACAGCCAGAAGCTCTGAAGGAAAAGCCCCTGGGCTCTGGTCACACAGGCAGCTTTCCCTGAGCACCAAGGAGAGGCTGACTGGGAGAGGGGCATTGCTTCCTCTGCTCCCAGCTCTCACCTTAATGATCTGTCCTTCCTTAAACGGCAGCTCCTCCTCGGCAGCATCGGGGTTCGGGGACATCGTCAGTGGATCGTAGTCAAAAAGTGCAACAAATATTCGAGTAGAGAGATCTTCTGTGCCAGGATCTGTTTCAGATTCCTCATAAAGGTCTGGGGAGAGATGGTCATGACCACCGTAGCCGTCTGTGAAAGCAAATTCAGAAAAGAACAATTCAGTAACACAAGTTGGCCTCATCATCCAGCTCTCCCAGTTACTATTTGAAACGTGATTGGCATTTCAGTGAAAAAAAACCCCAAACATCACTGCATGTCCCATAAAGCTTGGTTGTGGGTTTTTTTGTTGTGGTTTTTTTTTTTTTTTTTAGCAAGTTGCTATTTAAAAAAAAAGCTTATAAAACCTGCACTGGAAGTTGGGCTGATTTCCTGTACCAGACTGACATTTGCACAGCTCACATAGGAAAGCCATTTTTGTTAGGTTTGCAAGAGTTTGCCATGAATTAATGAAAAAAGCAGTCAAGAGAATGGCAAGTGAACACAAAATGATGGCTGAGGAGAGGCAGGATGCATGGCTGGATGGATGCCTGGACGGCCACACTGATTTCACTGACCACAAAGTAACCTGCCAGCAGATTCCTTCTGAGGTAAGATCCAACTGTAGCTGAGCTTAAGCGAGCTCAAACCATCTCGAGAGCCACCGAAGGGGATGAAAAGGCTCCCAGCAGTGCCAGTGGCTGCTGCTCACGGCCCGGGGAAGCCCCAGCACACTCATTTCAGCAGAGCTGCCTGCAGCCCATTTCACCCCCTCAAAACCAGGAGCAGCCTGGCTCCAGACAAGTCTGCTGCTCGTTTTTAAGGATTTCCTTCCCAACTCTGAGGCCGCAAAGAACAGGAATGCACGGATCTGTCCAACTAACCAATGGAAGGGACCAACAGGGGCCGAGACCTTTGTGGCACTGCACTGCCATGGGAGGACCTTCGCCCTGCATGCTCCACCCTGTCAGGCCGTCCCGCAGAGGCTGGGTTACCTAAAAGCTAAAAAACAACAACAGAAAGAACAGGGTCGTCAGTTCCATGCATGGCAACATCGTGGTTACGCGGCTGGACATTAATCAGCTCAATCACAATTGGAAGCATAAGCTCTAAAGGCAACTAAACTTAGTTTTTAACTGAAAGGTTAGCTGAAAAGTGAGCACTGCTGCTGGGCAAACCTGCAAAAGAAAAAAAATGGTTCCCTGATTTATGGCAGAGCTTTGTAAACCAGCAGTCACACATCAGAACAAAAAGCAAAGAAAAGAATAATTCTGGAAATATTCTTTTGCCTTTGTTGTTGCGGCTAAGGTGGCGTTTGGGTGTCCTGGAGACTGGCACGGGCAGGCTGAGAGCCGGGCAGGGCAGGGCAGGGCACAGCAGCAGTGCCAGAACGGAGGTGCCTCCCAGGCAGCCCTGGTGGCCCGGGGCTCTGCAGGTGCCTCCCGGGCAGCCCTGGTGGCCCGGGGCTCTGCAGGTGCCTCCCGGGCAGCCCTGGTGGCCCGGGGCTCTGCAGGTGCCTCCCGGGCAGCCCTGGTGGCCCGGGGCTCTGCAGGTGCCTCCTGGCTGGCCCTGGTGGCCCGGGGCTCTCTGGTCCTGGCCGGCCGTGCCTGGCAGGGTGAGGAGGGCTGCAGGCTCCAAGTGGGCACAGCTGGCTCTGCCCAGCACACACTGCTGCAGGGCAGTGCTGCATGGCTGTGCTGCTGCAGGGCTGTGCTGCTGCAGGGCAGTGCTGCAGGGCAGTGCTGCAGGGCTGTGCTGCAGGGGCTGTGCTGCAGGGCTGTGCTGCTGCAGGGCTGTGCTGCAGGGCTGTGCCAGCTCTCCGAGCTCCTCCTGGTCCCCGGCACCGGCACAGCTGTCACCGCTGGCGCTGGCAGAACTGTTGGGCTCATTCCAGCCGGAGCCGGGCGGCTCCCGGGGCCTCTGCTCTGGTGTGGAACGGCCAGAACGGGCTTTGCACCCCGGGGTGCTGCAGGCAGAGCTGCAGAACGGGCTCTGCTCCCTGGGGTGCGTCCCTGACGCCCAGAGGCTCCTCTGGACATGCTGGGCAGAAATGCAAAGAGGCACGGTCGTGCAGAGCATCCCTGGCAGATGTGCAATGGCCCTGGGCTCCCCTCGGAAGCAGCTCTGTGCCTGCATCCTCCCGCAGAGATGCAGTCTGCAACTCCAAAGGCAAGAAGAGATGGTCTGACAAGGACGGCAGCGCGGTGACAGTGCAGAGATAAGGCAGAAAATGAAAATTATGAAGCTGTGACTCCACAAATCTGGGTCACTGTCACACTGGGGGAGAATCTTGCTTCTTGTCTTGAGATGTTCCATGATAAAGAGCATATCCTGAAAATTCTGAGAATGAGGTGAATAAAAACAACACGATGAAATGAATTCCTTGACAATAATAACAAAAAACAAAAAAAAAAATGGATGAAACATTTTTCCAGTTAAAAATGCAGCTTTTTTTTGTTTTTGTTTTTTTTTTTTGAGCAACATTCAGATGGGCAAAATAAAGAAAAGCAAGCTTTTGGAAAAATTATAGTTCAGCTAACCCTTAATTAAAATTTAGATTCAGTTGTCCTTTAATAAAAGCAGCCATCATTGTAATTTGTCTGGGGGGAAAATCATTGCAAAGCAAATTAATCTGATTTCAGCATGACACAAAAGAGGACGATAAATGAAAATACAGAGTAATAAACCAAAATGAATGGAGAAGAAAAAAAATGGGGGGAAAACGTAGCAGATGGGTCCAAAGGATGGACTTTAAAAATCAATTTGGAAAAAAAAATGAAAAAAGAAGAAAAAAAAAAGAACAAAAATTAAAAAGAATAAAGAAAACCGACTGATTTGGCAAGCAGACGTTAGAAGGAAGATACTTCACACACCAGAGAGTCTTGTGCGTCTCTGTGGGATGGCTTTGCAAGGGCAGCAGCTGCCCTGGGCTCAGCAGGTTTGGGGTCACTCTTCCAGCCCCCCTGCAGCTCTCGGTTGTCCGAACGGTCCCTGCGGCCCCTGGGAGCCTCGGGCCGCCTCCCGCAGCCGGGCCCGGCCTCGCCCAGCGGGGCTCCCGGCTCCCCGAAATCCTCCTGGATGCTGCTCTGCCGCGTCAGGGTCCTCCTGCGGGCCAGCAGCGGCCGCGGGCCGGGCCAGGGCTGCGGGCCGGGCCGGGCTGGGCCAGCGGGCCCCGAGCGCTCCTCATCGCCCGCCCTCGGGGGTCTGGCACCTAGCCGGGGCTCCTCTTCCTCACTGCTCCTCGGGGGTCTGGCACCCAGCCGGGGCTCCTCTTCCTCACTGCTCCTCGGGGGTCTGGCACCCAGCCGGGAGCGCTCTTCATCACCACCCCTTTGGGAGCTGGTGCTGTGCCGGGGCTCCTCTTCCTCACTGCCACTCCTGTGTCGGACACCGAACCGGGACCGCTCTTCATCACCGCCCTGCTGGGGTCTGGCACCAAACCGGGGCTCCTCTTCCTCACTGCTCCTTTGGGATCTGATACCGAGCCGGGAGCGCTCTTCATCACTGACCCTTTGGGATCTGGTGCTGTGCCGGGGCTCCTCTTCCTCACTGCCACTCCTGTGTCGGACACTGAACCGGGACCACTCTTCCTCACTGCCACTCCTGTGTCTGAAACTGTGCCAGGGCTCCTCTTCCTCACTGCCACTCCTGAAACTGTGTCTGAAACTGTGCTGAAACTCTTCATCACTGCCCCTTTGGGCTCTGACACCAAACCGGGGCTCCTCTTCCTCGCTGTCCCTCCTGTGTCTGACACTGAACCAGGACTGCCCTTTGTCAGTGCCCCTTTGGGCTCTGACACCGAGCTGGGGCTCCTCTTCCTCACTGCTCCTCCTGTGTCTGAAACTGTGCCGGGGCTCCTCTTCCTCACTGCCCCTCCTGTGTCTGACACCGAGCCGGGAGCGCTCTTCCTCACTGCCCCTTTGGGATCTGATACCGAGCTGGGAGCGCTCTTCATCACCGCCCCACTGGGCTCTGACACCGAGCCGGGACCACTCTTCCTCACTGCCCCTCCTGTGTCTGAAGCTGTGCCAGGGCTCCTCTTCCTCGCTGCCCCTCCTGTGTCTGAAGCTGTGCCAGGGCTCCTCGTCCTCGCTGCCCGCCGGGGCCGTGACTCCGAGCCGGGGCTCCTCGTCCTCGCTGCCGCAGTCCAGCCCGCTGTCGGGGCTGCGGGACCGGCACTGCCGGGCTTTGCACCCCCGCTGCTCCGGGGCCGGCTGCTCCAGCCCCGGCACTGCCCGCCGGGCCGGGCACCAGGGGCTGTGCTGCTGCTCTTGACCGCAGGGCCTGCGAGCTCTAGGGCCTCTAGCTACCCGGGGGCTCTTTCTGTGGGCCATACCTAAACCCTGCTTGTACAGCAGTTCAGAGTAGTCACCGTCCTCTTCAGCCACTTCTGGAATACTGAAAAGCCTTTTACTGTGGTGTGTCTGCTGGGGAAAGCCAGGCTGTTCCAAAAAAGTGGCTTCAGTGGTCTTATTCTTATCGTACTCCTTAAGAGTATGTAATGTTAAAAACCAGACAGGGAACAAAGAGTGCGTGACAAAAATAAAATGGGAGGAAAAAGGGAGAAAAGAAAAATAAAGACAGAATTAGTTTTAGAGCAATGGCAAACATAAGACATGCAGCTTATATTATGAAAAGGATGTCGTGCTTTGAATGAGGATCTGTGAAAAATAAAGGTGTGATTAAGAAGTTGCTGGGTGCCAGGTGCAACGTGAGAGGTCAGTACAAACAACTGAGTGATGCTCTTAACAAGAATAAACTCATGCATTTGAAACGGAGAAATGAAAGCCACAAACAGGCTCCAGCATGGTGGGTGAGAATGGCATTAAAACTCCTTCCTTGCCCCGTGCCAAACTGCCATCTGATTTTCTTTGTAACCAGAACCCATATCTAAGAATGACAGCTCTGCCCTAGCAAGCTTGCTTGCTTTGCATCTCTTAAAGCTTCCTATATAAGTAGTAAATACCCTCAGTCTCCTGTCAGAGGAGAGCCATTCCACAGCCATCATTAAAGGAGTTCTGGTTTCCTTTCCAAAATTCTAAAAAACCTGCACATTTTTAAAGCTTGGCCTCCAGGGAAAGCCCCCTGGGACACAGGCTGCTCTCTGATGTCACTTGGTCTGCACTGCCATCAAATCTCTCATCATGATCTTGGACCTGCTTCATAAAACCAGTGCTTGAAAATCAACCTATGAGCAGAAGTAAGTCTCTGTTTGTGCCAGAAGCAGGAAAAAGCTACCCCAGCCTGGGTAAAACAAGCGTTCTGGACATGCCAGATACATTTACAATTCTCCTGTTCCATTTCCACAAACCACAGGCTGCTCTAACAAAGAGCCCTGGGAGGAGTGCCTTGGCTGGGCTCTGGAAGAGGGAAGGGAGCACAGGGCAGGAGATGCTGGCTCTGACTCCAGGATTACTGATTCTGCATCAGAGATCATCTCTCCTTGTGCCTAATGCCAGATCAGGGGCACCTCTGGGCTCAACAGCCCAAGAAATAGCGACAGATCCTCCCGGAGATAGCAGCATCTCCCTCTGAGCATGCTAAACTTAGCTGCTGTTTGGGCATTGTCCCCTTCCAGGCAGAGGAAACATCCTAAATTACTTTAGACTACTTTCCTTTGTTTTTAAAATGTGTGTAACACCTGTGAAACTTGAGCTAAAGCACCACAGAAGTGGAAAAAAGATCAGTAAGCATGAACTGCATCAAGAGAAGCCTGCAACCCTAACAGGTCAAAAACTATTTCCTACACCAGTTAAGGTTCCAGAAGTTTCTCAATATCAACACTGGTAATACTAATTTAGATCCAAGAAGTAAATACACCTTCTGATGCATAAAGAACAGAAGTCTGGGGATTATTATTTTTCCAGGGGAAGGGGGTACAATGAGCTCGCAGAAGGATTTTGGTTTCAACCTTCATGTTGGTGCAGTAATACAAACACTGCCAATTTCTTTTTTGAAAAAGTACCAGTCTCACTGCAGAGAGTATCAGAATAAAAGGACTGAATTTACAGCACATGAAAGCAGTCATAAGAATGCTCAGAATTCTGGTATGCATGGCAACATACTACTGGTTTTAGTTGAGTAACAATCTACTGAATAAAAAGTTAATCTGTGGGATTGTGCTTTCTAAGAAAACACAGTAATTACTGCACACATAAAGAAGCAAATACAATTTACATGTACAAATATAATAGGGCAAATATATATTCAGTATTGGGTGTGTTTAGTGTCCTGCATGAGCTTTAGTTGTTGCACTGAATTTTCTTTCTTGATGAATATTCCTGTATTAAAGCAATATTTATGGAACATATTTCCTATTCTCTCTGGCAATTCCCTAAAATTCAGAGCACAGGGAGTTCTGACAAAGCAGATCAAACAAAGCTGAAACAACTCCCTTTCTTACAGGAATGCTTTAGGCCTGTGGAAGGGATGGGACTAGCACTGGGTACATGGACAAATCACTCAGACAGGAAAAACATAAGTTGATTTATAAGTTTTTACAAATCTTTCTCAGAAACAACTCATTTTTTGGGGTAGCACATGCAGTATATCTTCACAGAGACAGGGGAGGGTCCCCAGATGCAGAACAGGAACAATCACATATAGGAAAGTCGTCTGTTGGTTAAAGTGCGCCTGTCAGTGAAACCCAAGCAGGTAGCAGGTGCATTAAAGCAGCCCAGCTGCAGTTCCCCAGCACAGAGAGCTGCACACCTGCAGCTCTGGAGCGGCTGAAGGACGCCCAGGAGCACCCAGGGGTGCCCGAGCCCTCACCTTGAGCGCGCCGTGCGAGGTGAGGCTCAGGCGCCGCCGGCCGCCCTCCTCCAGCTGCATCTCCGAGTAGAGCTCCTCCTCATCCTCCTCCAGGATGTCGGACAGGTCTGAGCCGCGGCTGCTCTCGGTGTGGTACTCGTCCCCCAGGCAGTAGTGAGCCTGCAAGGGCAGCACAGAGCTCAGGGTGCTAATCCTGCCGGGCTGGGCGGCACAGCAGCCAGGGAGGGACACCACGGGGAGGGACACCACGGGGAGGGACACCACGGGGAGGGACACCACGGGGAGGGACACCACGGGGAGGGACACCACGGGGAGGGACACCACGGGCTGGGCTCTGCCCGCTGCACCTGTCCCCTGCAAACTCTGCTTGCCCACTTCTGATCGTAATTCAAGAGATCCAATCTCAATCCCAGGTGATGGAATAAAGAATATCTCCTTTCAGAGCACCAGATCTTGTTTTAGTCTTGATTAGATTCCTCTTATTAAAGGGGTCCTTCATGCATCAATGGGCTTGCTGACCAAATTGCAAAAGCCTTAGGATAATTCACATATCATCTGTTCTTGGCAGCTGTTTGTTACATCACATTGTAATTTAAAAGTGATCACCATTTAATTCTTCCACCATTGTGGACCTTCAACACAGGAAGTCGAGTCTTTGACTGAAATTTTTTAAACCACCCCAAGACATAAAAAACCTATTTCTTTTCCAGAATTTACACCTCTCTTGAAATAAACTATTTAATATTTGTTTTCAGTGGGATCAGTCTAAAAGCTGCGCAGTTGTGCAAATTTCTCCTGCCAGCACCTTTCCATTCCTTGAAGCCAATGCTACACCCTGCTTGTTGCTGTCATCAGGCTGTTGGGTCACAGGTGATGCCCTGGTGGCACACAGGAATCCTTCCTTCCCAGGCTGTCACTTGCAGCAGTGACACCCCACAGAAAGGACAGAGCCCAAACAGGACAGCCCAGTCACATTTTCTATGTTCTTTGCCATCTTCATCTTTCAGTTTCCATGCCTGGGGCTGCTGGAAGGGAGGATGGAGATCCCTGTGCCAGGCAGGAACAGGAGCATCCCTGCCACGGCTCCGCCTCACCTGTGTCACCTGTGTCACCCTCTGTGTCACAGCCTGTGTCACCTGTGCCACCAGCACAGCCAGAGCCCGCGGAGTGCCCTGACCGAGCTGGGCTCCAGCAAGCACCCAGCTCCTGCTGAGCACGGGGTGCAACACCAGAGCCAGGCTGCTCACCTGCTTTCCAAGCTCTGACTCCTTCAGGAAATCATCAACCGAGGCTCCCCTGCGCTTCACCTTGGGGGAGTCGTAGCCATCCTCCTCCTCGTCCGAGTAGGGCCCCACGCTGCTCCTCTCGCTGAAAACGCTCCTCCTCTCCATCTGGGGAAACAAAGCCAGGGCTGTGAGGGACACTGCCCTGCACCAGGGACACAAATATAAACACTCCTCCTCTCCATCTGGGGACCACAAAGCCAGGGCTGTGAGGGACACTGCCCTGCACCAGGGACACAAATATAAACACTCCTCCTCTCCATCTGGGGACAACAAAGCCAGGGCTGTGAGGGACACTGCCCTGCACCAGCGACACAAATGCAAATACAAAGACTCAAGCACACAACATTTAAAAGCACTCGTGGCTTAAAGCACTGTTAGTTCCTCCTGGCTGGAACCTATGAGGAGTTTTTCAAGAAGTTTTTGCCTGTTTTATTGCCCTCAGTCTTAAACAATTACCTGATTCTATGTGCTTATCAGATGAGCTGCCAGTTCTCCTCCCTGTAGCACTTACCAAAATTCTCAGAGGCTGCCAGCAAAGACACTCCTTTCCCCTGGCAGAGGCAGTGGATGATCAAGCCACAACAGCATTTGTGACTTCAATAGACAAAAAGCCCCAGAATGAGCTGTGGGCTCCTGCTCTGAGGAGCCTCAGCAATTCCTGCTGGCTCTGGTGACAGTGCCCAGCAGCCAAGAGCCAGGGGCAGGCACACAGCTCCTTCTGCAGCACTTGCCACGAGTGAAGAATTCACACCACAGGGGACTAAACATGACAAATATCCCTGGTAGGATTTGATTTAATTTAGAATTACTTCGTCTACAAACTTCTGTCTGGCTTCCTGAATAAAACATTTCAAGCATCACTTAAACTAATGTAATCAAACGTGGTTCAGAGCACATGTTATGTCAGCAATTTTCCAAACCAGAAAAAGTATTTCTGTTCTCTTTCCCTCTGTGGTTCTTAAATCAGCTTTCACCTCATATGGCCAAAGAAACCAATTGCCTTTTCTCCCTCTATTACATTCCAGTCTTACTTTTAAACAAAAGGAAGACAGCTACAGATGCATACACATATATTTATCAGACCTTATTGATCCAGAGTTATTCAGGTTCTCAAAAGCTGCCTTGATTTACCCACTGTATCAAATGCATCCAAAACAGGAACAGTCAATAAACTGGGGCTGTTAAGGCATGTGTGGACTGTCAAAATTAATGCAGTTATTTTAGAGATACAATGGGAGACTAAAAACTGGACATAACTGATGACTGCCAGATGAAGCACCAAGAAAATCCATGGAGTAAGTGACACCTCAGCTTGTGAGAAGTAACAGTTGTGAGCAGCTTGTGATGAGAAACTAACTGCCCAGGGCACTGGGAGTATTTAAATATTGCATATTTGTGTGGAAAACCCACAGCACATTGTCAGGATGCATCCACATCAGCTGCACTGACCCCAGAGCCCCAAATGTGGGATTTAAATCAGCTGGCAAAGATGTGAGTCAGCGCAGCAGCCGTGGGTCATGGTGGTCCCAAACCAGGGGTGGCCTTGGGCAGGGACTGCTGGCAGCTCCAGGAGGAGCTGGAGCGAAAAGCAGCTGCAAATGCGTGTGAAAAGGCAGCACTGAGAAGGAGAAATGTGTAAAATTCCCTGTGGATCCATGACAGTGGACACAGGAGGGCTTTATCAGCCCGGAATTTCAGCACTCTGCTTCTCAAGCTGAGGATCCTCAGAGCTGAGGAATGGTTACCCGCTCCCTGAAGCACACGACGAGCAATGTTTGATGGCAAGCCCGATGACCAGCCCAGCCCAACAGAGCCCTAGGAAGGAGTTTGCCCTTACCCTGTGGCTCTCTGCCACCCTCTGCGCAGCTTCTCTTGCCATGGCTTTTGCGACGGTGTTGGGGACGGGAGCGCCCTGGGGCTGGGGCAGGATCCTGTTGGGGGACGGGGACCGCCTGCCCGTGAGCGGGCCGTGCAGGCCGGGCGGCTCCAGCGTGTGTCCGTGCGCGGGGGACAGCGAGCGCGTCTGCTCCCACGGCTCGTCCCTCCTCGCGTGCGGCCCGAGCTGCTCTTCTTTGGTTTCGGGGGCTCCGGCACTTGCTAATGGCTTCGATTTGGGAGCGGGTCTGGGGTGAGGGGTTGGAGGCACCAGGAGGTCAGCTGGAATGGCAGCAGGAGGAGAGTCCACGGACTCGCCCTGCGCAGAGAGCGTCCGCACCGTCACCTCCCGGGCGTCCAGGGCACGCAGCCGCAGCAGCTCCAGCGCCGTGCCCTCGGCTGCTGGGAACGTCACCTCGGCCACCTGCGGGCAGGCACAGAGCCACCTGTGAGCACCCGGCCACCCGCCAGCCTGCCCTCGGCCTGCTGGGCACACCCTGAGCCCATTGGGGCATACCCTGAGCCCCCTGGGCACACCCTCAGACCGCTGGGCACACCCTCAGCCCCATGGGCACACCCTGAGCCCCATGGGCACACCCTGAGCCCGCTGGGGCATACCTTCGGCCTGCTGGGCACACCCTCAGCCCACTGGGCACACCCTGAGCCCCATGGGCACACCCTGAGCCCCATGGGCACACCCTCAGCCTGCTGGGCACACCCTGAGCCCCCTGGGCACACCTTTAGCCCCATGGGCACACCCTCAGCCCCATGGGCACATCCTGAGCCCCCTGGGCACATCCTGAGCCCCATGGGCACACCCTGAGCCCCCTGGGCACACCCTGAGCCCCATGGGCACACCCTGAGCCCGCTGGGGCATACCTTCTGCCTGCTGGGCACACCCTGAGCCCACTGGGCACACCCTCAGACCCATGGGCACACCCTCAGCCTGCTGGGCACACCCTCAGTCCCCTGGGCACACCTTCTGCCCCATGGGCACACCCTCAACCCCCTGGGCACACCCTCAGCCCCATGGGCACACCCTGAGCCCCATGGGCACACCCTCAGCCCCCTGGGCACACCCTGAGCCCCATGGGCACACCCTCAGCCGCCTGGGCACACCCTGAACCCGCTGGGCACACCCTCAGCCCCCTGGGCACACCCTCAGACCCCTGGGCACACCCTCAGCCCCCTGGGCACACCCTGAGCCCCCTGGGCACACCCTCGGGCTCCTCAGAGCGAGCTGCTGCAGCGCAGCGTGGGTTCCCCGCCAGGGCTGGTGCCCTCACACCTGCTGGCCTTCATCCCCCAGCCCGCTGGCCAGAAGGGCTCCTGGAAAGGAGCAGTTACCCCCAAACCCAGGACAGGCTCCTGCAGCGAAGGAGCCCTGCAGGGCCGTGCCCCATCCCTGCGGGCTGCAGGGTGACAGGAGGGGACTCACCCGCTGCCCTTTGGCATAGACACCGTAACCCGTGACGCTGGCACCGTGGGACGTCCCCGTCGCCGACAGAGCCGGGGGCTTCCAGGACACCTGCACGGTCCCTGGCGTGGGCCCTGCCCGCACAGACACGTCCTGAGGTGGAGCTGGAGGACCTGGGAGAGACGGGAGCGGTCACTCCGCAGCCTCCAGCTGAGCCGCAGCGTGGGCTGCCAGCTGGAACTGCGACCTTTGCCACCAGCTGAGGAAAGCACAGCTTCATTTTTTCAAGAAGTTTTTGCCTGTTTTATTACCCAGCTTGATTCAGCTGGTCCTTCCTCTGCACTGAATCGAAAAATACACCCAGTAACCTCCTAAGGCATTTACAGTGTGTTAGTGTGACAGCACACCACATACCTCCTTAATTAACAGGCATTACCCTGCCATAAATAGCTCTACTTTGGCCAGAAAGCCGAAGTAAAAATATCACAGAGATTATTAGTTCATACATTTTTCAAGCATCCTGTTGTGTTAATTTAACCAGCAAGCCCTGAGAGAGGCTGCTGCTAAAGCGTGTCAGAAGCAGGGCTGGGCTGCAGCCATCTCTGCAGAGCAGAACAGACCTGGCTGCTGTGGGACTGCTTCTCCCAGTGAACTAAACACAGCCAGATCCTCCTCATCCACCAAAAAGGCTGCAAACACGTCAGCTGTGCTTGATACGTGTGCAAATGTCACACCAGACCACTGGCAAACTGCCAGTGCATTTCACTGGTTTGCTGCCACTGAATTTTGTCCTCTAGTGGACATGGAAATGAAATTCTGGTCATGTTCAGGACAGTACAGGCACAACAGGAAGGTTTTGTTCATACCATCCCTGCACCTATAAAGTATATTTATCTTGCAAGTGGAGAGTATGCAAATTGACCTAATGCTATTCTTGTCCAGGAGAGATTTTGGTTCAGGATTGAATTTCAGCTTTCCTGGTCATCCTATTTTATTGACAGCCAGCACTCCCAATTCAGCAAGGCTGCTCAGTTTACAAGGAAGGAAGAATCTGATCTAACCCAGCATCTCGCCACTGACAATGGCATTAACCTGCTCCTGCAGGAGAAGTCACCTTCCTTGCATTCTCCCACAGAGAAGCAACCCCAGGGTGTCTGTGCCGACCTTCACAGGCTGTGCAGAGATAGGTTTAACAGACTGCAGCGCCCGGGGCTCAGCATGGCTCCTCTTTCCTCCCATCATCAAATGGGAAATTATTCCTGATGAGTTTTGATGGTCTTGGTCATCAACATAAATGTTTGTTTTGGAATTCTGCTACACTTTGCTCCTCATGGGTTTTTTTACATAAATTAGCTCCAAAAACTGCAGCAGCCCCATTGGTCCTGCTCCTGTACTTATTTCTATTTTTAGATCTGAGTGCCCAAGACAGAAACACTTGTATTTTTACGTGAGCAATTCCATTGCTTTGATGAATCAAGATGAGTTCAATTGCATGACACTCTCTGGTGGTAACTCCCATCAGTGACTTCGAATTCATCCTTCTGCTTTGCTCCAATTACTCTGAAATCAGGCATCAGCCTCTAACCACAACAGCTGCTATTTTGTTTTCTCTGCACAGCAGTAAAAAGCTGGCTTGTGTCTCTAGAAGTGCTCCCAGTGGATGAAGCAGTGGGGAAGATTCTGGGAGCTCTGGCTCCAAAAGCTGAGGCTTCCCTGCTCCTCAGCAGAGAGCAGCTCTGCATTGCTCAGCAGACTTTGCAGCTAGAGGGGGACACAGCATGGGAAGTGCTTGGCCAATTCACTGCCTTATTTCTGCTCTAGCTTTCAGCACTGCTTCAGTGCTCCTGAATCATGGCAAATGGCTGACAACACTTACCAGCACTCCTAATGTAAAATCCAGGTGGGAAAAAACCTCAGACTTTCCAAAACACAACGAATCTGTTGACTTTACAAATACAAATTGTACAATGATGATCGCACCGTCACAACCAAAATACACTTACATCCCCTAAACGCTGTGCAGGTTAAAGTATCTTCTCTGGTATTTTCAGAGAAATTTAACTGAAGAGTTTTGGGGTAGGGAGGAAAATATCAAACCTGCTGGCAATGTAGAAAATTCCACAAAGGCTTCCTTTTTTTCTCGTTGTTCCAAGGGAAGCTGCCAGGGCATCTGGTGGGGCTTTGCCATGACCTTCACCTTGTAGGCCATATTGGGCTTCAAATTAAAAAAATGGTACTTGTAGCTGGCAGCCTTGACAATGTCAAACTCCTCCTCGTTCAGGAAGATGACGTGACTGTAATTGCTGTTTGTAGGGAGCCAGGACAGCTCAGCAGAGATCTGGGTGATGTTGTCCACGCGGAGGTTGGAGGGGGCGACGATGACGTCCTTGCCCACCAGCAAGGTGCACTGCAGCTCGTCGGAGTTGCCCTTGCTGGTGATGCTCTGGATGGAGATCCGGTAGGTGCAGCTGGAGGTGTTGAGCTTCTCTATCAGCGCTTTGGTCCTGCTGCCCAGGGCGACGTTCATCCTGACCTCCTTGTCCACCAGGACGTTGTAGCTGCTGACGGTTCCCCAGCCGGGCGGCACCACCGGCGGCTCCCAGCCCACAATAACACTTTTGGCGAGTTGTTTGATGAGGGTGATTTTTCGGGGATAAGGCACAATGTCTTCTCCGATCTCGTCGATGTTGACGTCCAGGGTCCCCGCGCCGTTGCTGAGCAGGCTGGAGTCGATGAGGCTCGGGGGGCTGATCTCCCGCTCTCCTTCCAGAGGAGGGCCCGAGCGGTTGAGGAAGTTCTGGTCCTGCTCGCTGCTCAGCGCGCTCGACAGCCGCGCCTCGTTGTCCTGAACAAAATCCACAAAGTTCGAAGGGACGAGTCCTCTCTGGCCATCCAGCAGCTCTCCTGCAGAGAAAGAGCAAAGCCATTAAAACCCCGAATACCTGGTCCGTGGCAGCGCCCCGAGAGCGGACAAGATAAGGGGCGAGGGACGAGTGAAAGCAATAAAGAACATCCCCAGCTTGGGAACATAAAGGCTTATTAAGGGAAGTACCAGAACTGCCAGTAAGCTTTTTTGTCAACTTAAGTCTTGCCAGAGGAAAAGCTGACACTATAAAATATTTTATAATTAGCTCTGCCTGCAAGGAGCGGCTTTGCTGGTGCAGAAACTCTTTTAATTAACACCAGGATGATAAAGCTAAATTTAGCAACCGATTTAGGAGCAGACGAAGGAAAGGGTTTGGAGCGCCTTTGACAGACGAGCTGATTTCAATCTGCATGAATTAGCATGAATTGGTGCATTAAGTAAAACATACCTTCGTAGAAGCCATCCTCGTCCATGTCTCCGTACACGTAGAGGTACTTTCCTGCCGTGAGAGGCAGCTCCGCCTCGGGGTTCTCGTTTGGTCCATCGAAGGGGTTGTAGCTGTGGGGGACAGGCAGAGCGCTGCTCAGAGCAGGGGCTGCAGCTCCACCCAGGCCATGTCCCCGGGCAGAGTGGCTTTGCAGTGTGGTTTTGCAGTGTGGCTTTGCAGTGTGGCTTTGCAGTGTGGCTTTGCAGTGTGGCTTTGCAGTGTGGCTTTGCAGTGTGGCTTTGCAGTGTGGCTTTGCAGTGTGGATTTCCATCCCTCTTGGGACACCCGGCTCAGTCTGTGCCTCTGAGCTCCCCTGTGCCCCAAACCCACGTCCTTCCCCGCAGTGTCTAGAGACACTTCTCACTTAGGGCTCTTGGAAAACACTGCCCAAAATTCTCTTTGTTTTTTAGAGTGAATTAAAGCAAACTCAGTTGTGGGGGTGTTTTCCAGTCGCTGTATTCAATTTTATGTTCCCTTTATACAAGTTCATTAAACTTCTACAGAGGCAAGGTAAAAGAAGACAAAAACAGTGAGCTACATCTAAGAGAAGCTACTGAGAGACAAAAAGTACTTATGAAGTACTTAAATCTATATTCATCCCGAAAGAAACTGTTAGCCAGTGAAATTTTTATCATGACAGTCCTTCATGCCTGAAATTTTAACATGCAAAGCAGTGATGGACTCAAATCCCCTCTTGCTTGGAGAAGTGATGGAAAAGAACAGACTGAGAGCTCCTCTCTGGAGCAGGGGCTCCCATTTAGTCTGACTGAGGCACTGGAGGACAGGAATGCAGGGCTGGGGGAGCTCAGCTCCCCCTGCCAGCCCAGCAGAGGGACAGGCCCTGCTCTGCAGCCAGTGCCAGCTGCACAGGCCCTCCAGAACTCCCTTTCCATGCAGTAATTCAGCGCAGGGGTGATGTGGGGCCAGGCCTGATGGTGAATATTACAGCTGGGTGTGATGGGTGCTCTACCTGTAACGGGCAATGCAAAGATGGACTTTCCCAGAATATCTCTGCTTTGAGGTATTGGAATTCTGATCATTATCCATCTGTGGGGGAGGGAGAAGAAAGATAATGTGATTACACAAAAAGAAGAATGAACAGTTTTCCTGACAGGTGATATGAATCAGTGAACACACAGTATCAAGGAAAAAAAATTAAATTCTAACATGGAGCACAAGTGGTTAATTTTACTTAGAAGGGCAGAATCCAGTGACTGAGCACTTAAAACAAATGCTGAGTTCAGAACTGGTGCAAGTGCCAGCCTCCAAACACCTGGAAACCACGTGTATCACACAAAACATACCCCTTGCCAATCCAATCCCCTCCAACCCAATCCTCAGCATCAGCATCTCTTGAACACCACCCTTTCCACTGACTGAAGGAAATAGCATATTTTACTCTGAATTTCACATCACATTTAATTCAATCCTGCAAAGCCACACGTTTATTCTGTTACAAATCCGGTCTACAAAACCTGGAGATTTAATTGTGGTGTTGAATCAACACAGACTCTGCCCATTCTAGCTCTGCACGAGGTCTCTCACTGATAAAACAGCAATTTCAGCTGTGCTTTCAGCTAGTAGAGGTTTTAAAGTCAGGGATGAACTTCCTTCATTGTACAGTTTGCTGTGGGCCACTTCAGAAAAAATGACCAATTTTTTGCCTGAGCTTGAGAACTTGAATTAAGGTAGAAATGCTGGGTTAACAGCAGGATCAAATAAAATAAACTGTCCAAAACCTGAGCAAAATTTTCCAACCTAGACAGAGAGAACACTGAGTGTGGCTGCCAGGGCTAAACCAGTCCCAAGAGCACACCAGGAAAATTCCAGTGAAGTCCCTTTTCCTCTGAATTGGCTCCTGAGGGTGTTTGGCCCAGCACACCCTGCTCTGGCAGAGTATCACTGATTGATTGATTGATTGATTGACTGATTGATTGATTGATTGATTGATTGATTTCAGACCACCCCACGTTATGTTTCATTTTTTAGATTTTATTCATGCATCCTGCTTTGGGCCTGGGTATCTCTAAGGAGGAATGGAGCTGAATTTCTGTGAGCTTGCATAATGTAAGAGTGTATCACGTAATTACACTCTGGAAGGCACAAAACGTTCAGTTCTGCAAAAGAGGGCTTGGCATGCTCAGTGAGAGAGAGCTCAAAAGTAATAGAAAAGGGGAATTAAATTTGACGTTTGCTTCTCCTGTTCCTTGCTGTTAGTTCTGCTTCCCTAAGTCTCCTTGCTAAGCTGCTTTTTCTGTGGCCTCTTCAAAGAGCAGTGAATGTTTCCACCTTTCAATAATGCTGCTACACAAATATACACAAATATTTCCTCTGGATAATCCTCAGATATGCCCATGGAATTCCCACTATACAAGAATCCAGTATTTTGTTGAATGTCCTTAGACTTGTGATCCATTTAGAAACATTTTGATTCCATCAACTTTCACATTTTCATATCAATTAATATAACATAGATAGAAAATATGCACACACTTGCAATTTATTTACTCCTGTGAGGATTAGGAAAGGGATTTCCTGAAATGAGGGGTAAAATCTGAGGATCGTTTCCTCATGGCTATCTGCCCATATAAACCAGGGTATTTAATAGAAAGTCATACCCTTCTACAGGGTTTCCAAGATCTGTTCTATGCAGTTTTTATAACGAATATTTGTCCTAAATATTAAAAATCAACTTATAATGGCACCTTTGAACAATTCTTCTGAGCTTCCCATTGGATTTCTACTGGAATTCCAGTGAAAAGCAGAAAAGCTTCCCAAGGAAGGAGGAACAGAACCCTTCGAAAGCATGACTGACTAGAAAATGTGGAGCTGAATTGATTTAGTGAGAGCACCCTGCAACTTCAGTCCCATTTTCCAGGCTCAGAACCCCTTGGGAGAAGCTGGGGGCTGTGAGCAGGTGGTGCTGCCCTGCTGCAGGGGAAGCTCACACCCCAAGCATGAGAGGGAGTCCTGCAGGATGAGCCAAGGAGGTTCTGTGCCAGTGTCTGGGGCAGGCACGGAGCTCCTGCCCCCCTGACCTGCCTGCACAGCCCTGCCCCGAGCAGGAATGCTGCTGTGCCCCTCGCCCAGACACGCTCCGAGCACCACTGACACCTTCAGAGCAGCTCGAGTTCCTCACACAGCTCATCTTCATCCTCTGCAACTGCGACATCAGCTCAGCTCCTTTGAAAATGTCACTCCAATTCCCACCAATCATGTTCCCAAGAAAATGAGAACATTCATGTCTTGACTTTTTAAAAGCAGGTGGATCAACCTGCAATTCCTGCTGGAGCAGAGGAGCCTCAGCCCCAAATCCCCTTTTCAGTAAAAAGTTCAGAAATACTCACGTCTGAATCAAATCTGCATCTTGGGGTACCAGGTCTGGACTTGGACAGGAATGTGGGTTTGACAGACAGCTGTTCTGGTTTGTCTCCAGATATCTGAAGGGGTCGGATAAACTCTGAGATCACACAGCGACTTCCAGAAGGGCTCTCATGACCTGGCAGTGAAGAGAGCACGGACGGGATCAGGAGGGGCTCCCAGGCAGGAGCTCTGCCAGCACGCAGCAGAAGGTGGCTTTCCTCTCCTGTCACAAACCATCCCAGAAGAAGCTGGGTGGGTGCACTGCAGAGCACGGCAGCAGCTCAGCCTGCCAGCTCCAGCCCCTGCTAAACTGCCCGAGCCAACAACATATAACAAACATTACAGACGTTAAAGGCAGCAAGGGAGGGCATTTTCATTCCCAGAACTGCAGGGTAAGGTTCCCCAGTGAAAAGAACCTTTGTCCTGAGCCCTGTCTGTGCCTGGGGAGGCCGTGAGACACTCTGTGCAACACCCCTGGCACTCAGAGTGCTGCTGGAGCTGCACTGCTTTGGGGACTCTGCCATAATCTGCAAATCAGAACCAGGTCATACACTTGTGTTCTAAAAAAGACTGGAATGCTAATAATGCAGTTGGCAGGATAGTCATTTTGCAAAGAGGTTGTTCGACTTTTGGCAGCAGGAAGTGCCAGGAGCACCTGCCTTGTATTTCCAAGGAGTTCCTCACTGACACCAGCACTAAACCACATTCATTTGATCCCAGGGCCATCCCTCCAGTTTCTAAAACATGGAAACTCAGACTGTGCAAAAGGAAAAATCTCCAAAAATCCTTCTGGAGTATTTTTACTGTGCTTTTTAAAAGTAGTTTAGCAGAAAGGAAAGAGAGATTACACTGCAGACTGAGCAGCCTCACAAGAGGCTGAATGCTGTTCTCTCCTCCTGACTCAGGTGAAAAACAGAGGTGAGACGAGAACAGCGCGGCCCAGGCTGCAGAGAGACTGACAGAGCCGAGCCAAAGCCACGGGTGCATTTCCCTTTTACTGCTGGCTTGCTCCCCAGAGCAGGGATTGTAAACGGAGATGGACGTGAGCTGCAGCGGAGCAGGAGCTGCAGCACAGCAGGAGCTGCAGCACAGCAGGAGCTGCAGTGGAGCAGGAGCTGCAGCAGAGCAGGAGCTGCAGCAGAGCAGGAGCTGCAGCAGAGCACAGCAGGAGCTGCAGCGGAGCAAGAGCTGCAGCACAGCAGAGCAAGAGCTGCAGCACAGCACAGCAAGAGCTGCAGCGGAGCAGGAGCTGCAGCACAGCAGGAGCTGCAGCAGAGCAGGAGCTGCAGCACAGCACAGCAGGAGCTGCAGCAGAGCAGGAGCTGCAGCGGAGCAGGAGCTGCAGCAGAGCAGGAGCTGCAGCAGAGCAGGAGCTGCTGCTGACACGTTCAGATGTGCAGGTGCATTCTGCCTCTCATTAACATAACGAGCCTGTGCTCTAATTTTTCAGCCCCTGAATATCTGTAGGTTCAGCATTTCCTCTCCTGTTCTGACAGAAGTCTGGCCAGCAACATTTTGCTATTGAATTTCAAGATTCCCACTCCAGGTCACCAGGAATTATTGGAGGAACCTCTTTGTTCTCACTGCAGAGGAGAAAAAGCTCCAAGAACACCATCAGAGGGTTTTCTGGTGTGCTCATTAGTCCAATATGATTAATTTTCTCTGCATCAGTGTAATTTACAGCAGGCCAGCTTCAGCACATTGATAGCAGGGAAATATACAACTCACCACACTAAAGATTAATTACAACCAGCCCCACTTAGAGCAATCCCCAGGCTGGGAAAGGGCACATTTTTTATTCTTGGAACCTTTCTCACATCTACAACAGAGAAGTCCTCCCCGTTCAGGAACCTTTAGCCAATTTAGCTCCTTCTGTTTGCTGTTAATGTGTTTGCCATCTCAGCCTGCCAGTGCCAAGCTATAAATAATTGGGCCAACTGTGATTATTCATTCAAAGGAAGCCTCTGGTTGGGCTCAGACCTCCTGCATTCTCCAGGCTTTGTTTTCAAATCACTGGCACTAGGTAGGGAAAGTGGAGGAAGGTTCTGGGGCAGTGCAGCCCTTGCTCTGCATCCATACAGGACAATAACCAGCACGGGATAATAACCACACATTACCAGGAACGCCAGGAATGTCAAGATGCTGGAAGATATAGGCCTGTCTTATTTTTTTCACTTGGAAAGTAAGGCACATAAAGTTTACCCTGAGTCCTGAACACACAGCAGAGGGAGGTGTGTGGTGGCTGTGGCTGCACAGAGCCCAGGCACATCTCTGGCCCCAGGTAATTTCACTCTGCTTTGCAGAGCCTGCTGAACTCCACATCCTTGTTGCCAAAGGGCTGGTTTCAATAATTAAAAATACTAACTGATAACTGAAAACTCCACGCACACATCCCCTGCCCAGCAGAGACCCTGAATATCCAACAAAAGAGGGAAGAACAGATCTTTGTGTCAGAAATGTGCCCCACCAAACACCTTCAGCAGTGAGCTCCAGTGCATCCTGCAGAGGAGCCTTTAAAAAGGTGATGAGACAAATATTCTGTGTAAATTCAGCTGGTTCTACGTATGCAGAGCCACAGCTGGACTGAAAGACAAACACAAGCATCATCCAGTCATGCCTCTGCAAACCAAAAAAACCAAAACTGAGATTCAGAGTGCAGGGTGCACATTCCTCCTGAGCATCTGGGACCTCCTGCTCACTCCTGCAGAGATTTCTGCTCCTGCAGGTTGGGAACACAGGAGCACAAAAAAAAGGCTGCATTCAAAACCTGGCCTAAGTTTGCCTCCAAAAAAAGCAACTGATTAAACCTGGCTCTCTCCTTCATCCAAGGCAATTACACTGAGGGCCCTGGGCTCGAGCAGCAGAATGAGGAGGAATCAGATCTGCAGACTGGCTTAAAGCTTGTTAAACCTACAAAAAAGAAAACAAACAAACAAAAAATCCCCAGTAAAACACCTTTCCTTTTATATTTCCCCTCTGGAAAATAAAAAGAGTTTAAAGGAAAATATACAAGAGGTCAGCTCATAAGAACACACAGCAGCATCTAGAAATGTCTGTTTCTTTTCCTCTAAATACCAGAGAAGAATCCTATAAAGCCACAGGAATTTTGTCTATGAAGTCTTTTTAAATCTATATATGCTTAAAATGGCTTTTATTTTCCTGACTGACAACTATTTGTTAATGAAGTCTGAAGAGCACTCTATCAAGGAAAAAGGAAGAGCACCAGATCTAATTTAAATGTTTCAGGAGAATTAAATCTGTCCATACTTGCATTCCAATTAGACTCTCCATTTTATTTATTGCAATTGCTGATTCCATATGGACTACCTAAATCATCTAGAAGGACCATTTAAATGAGCCTCTTAACTGATGAATAATAAATCTTAAGGCTTCTATATCTGATTGTGACATTATTGTAGGTTTAAAGTGAACTTTTTATGCTGTAATCCATCCTGCCTAGGTTTATTTCCTTTCCTGATCCATTCAAACATCACCAATTAATGCAAAGCAGCTGGTCATAAACTGATCTCATTTCCATCATTTGCTTTCCTTTGAAAGCCGTCCTGTGTTCCCTCTCGTGTTCTTTCTTCCTCACACATAATAAAAATAATTACACTTCTGCTCTGAAGAACCTGCTGCACTCCCCCATCACTCCTGAGAGAGGGCTGATTTCAGTAATTAGAAATCCTGCCGCTGGCTCAAACACGACTTTACTGCTATCAGTGCATTCTCACTGAGGATCAGCAGTTCTGATGTTTAGACACAAGTGCTGCAGGCCCTGAATTCCAAGTCCCACAAAAATCAATGTGTTTTGAGAAAAGGCTCAGAGAGGAAGGCCCTAAAACGCCCTGGGTGCAGACCTGGCTGTGGCTGCTGTGCTTTTACTCAAGGGTTACTGGGGACATTTCAGTTCAGCACCTTTTGAAGCTTTTAAAAAGGTTTTTCCATTAGCATAAGAATAAGTATAAATTAGCTTGGAGAGTTTGACTGAGTACCTGAAAGATGTTCAGCTGATTTTCATTTTTCATTAAGTCAATCGCAGTGATAGAGGCTGGACCTTCACTTCTGCCTAAAGGACAGTCCAATACCTAATTACCAAACTGCTCTGGGGAATTTGTAAGTAATGAGAGTGACCTGACAACTCTTTCTTTGCAGGACAGCTGAGGTGATCCAGCCTGGGTGATGCTGATCACACTCCTCCCATGGGATAACACACAATGCAACATGGGATTCACATGGAAAAACACACAATGTAACAGGGGATTTTTCTATTTTATATTGTGTGTTATTCATGGAATAACACAAAATATAAAGTGTGATTCACATGGAATAACACACAATCTAACCTGTGATTCACATGGAATAACAAAATTTAACCTGTGATTCCATGGAATAACACACAATTTAACCTGTGATTCCATGGAGTAACACACAATTTAACCTGTGATTCCATGTATAACAGGCAATCCAGCCTGTGATTGACGTGGAAGCTGTTTTTAAGTGTCCTCAGGTAACCTTTGCCTCGAGCTTTGTCATTTTCCTATGAATAATGGATCGTTTACAAAGCTCTGCACTTGGAGAGCCGCTGCCTCTGGCAACAGGAGATGACCTGGTGAAAGTTCAGCACAGGTGTTGGATAAACGCACACTGTTGACTGTAAGTGAAAGAACATCAATACGGATATATTTTTTAAATTACTTTATGTTCTCCATTTCTCTTGAGACTATTTTTTGCCTTTTGAAAAGTTTTACTTTCAAACTTCTATGAAGAAGTGCATAATTTCTGTTGCACAAAAGCAGCTGAGCCCAAGCCATTTTGACGTCTCTCAAAATACTCCATTCAGTTTCCCCATTTTCTACCCAGCTCTGTTAAATGTTTTTTTATGTAATGGTCAATGCAGTGGGTGGGATCTCTGTGCTTTCTTTCCCCATTACCTCCTCCTTCAACAAGAAAGCAGACCTGCTCCTGTCCCTGGGACAGGGGAGGGTTTCCAACAAAGCCTGGACATGCAGACAGGTGCATTTTTACATGAAGAATAGGCAATTTTAACTCTGAACCCTTCTTACCACTGCCCTCAACAACAATTAGAGAGAATTTTGCTCGCAGTGATGCCTGGAGAGGCTCCCTGGAGCAGAGGCTGGAAAGAGTTGAAGGAATTTAGGTTGTGCAGTCCCATCCTCCCAGTTTGCTCTCCTCAATTCCCTGTTGTTTTACACTTTTTGGGCTGAAGCTGCAGTGGTGCCCTTGCTCTGGGCTGGAGAAGGATTGTTGTGTGTGCCTGAGCTGGTTCTGGGCTGGAAAAGGATTGTTGTGTGTGCCTGAGATGGTTCTGGGCTGGAAAAGGATTGCTGTGTGTGCCTGAGCTGGTTCTGGGCTGGAAAAGGATTGTTCTGTGTGCTGAGCTGTGAGCAGAGCTGTGACACTTTCTGTGGAGTTCAGAGCCACGCACCAATGCAGAGCAGATCTGGAACAGGTGAGAGCTCACACGGAAGGCACCAGCAGCAGTGCCCAGGTGGAGGGAGCAGCCCCGAGGAGGCGCAGGGCGCTGTGCAGGGTGAGGGTGACCCCAGGCAGCCCCTGGGCTCTCTGTGCCCATCACGGGCTCCTTACCTTTGCCGATGGAGGTGGCGATGCCGTTCATCAGCTGGGCCAGGGCTTTCCCGGGGGGCCCGGGCGCTGCCACGGAGGAGCCGCTCAGGAGCTCGATCTTGCCCGCCTGCTGCCGGAACCGCTCCAGCTCCCGCGCCAGCAGGTTAAACTGCTCGCTCTGCGTCCGGCATTTCTCCTCCAGCTCCCGCACCTTGGCCTGCAGGACAGCGGGGCTGAGACAGGGCACCTGGCCAGGCCCTGGGGCCAGGAACTGGGACACACACGGCATTTGGGATCAGCAGCCTCCCAGCCTCCCTCCGAACCTCCCCGCACTCCGAACAGAACCCACGGGCAGCCCTGTCCCACCGAGGGATTCCTGCTGTCCCCAGGGCCTTCCCAAGGGCAGATCCCTCCTGCTGTGCTCCAGCAGTGCTAAAGCTAAAGAAATGGGCATGTTCTCCCCATGGCCAGAGCCCTGCAGGGGATCCCGCAGCGCTGAGGCTCCTCTGCACACCCGAGTGTCTCTCCTGCGTGTTTTTCCAGCCTCTCGAGAAGGCAGGTGTATCTCGGAGGTTTGCCCACCTGCTGCTATTAAATTGAAGCCTCCAAAGCTGCTACATTAGCATTTGTATTAAAGCCCCACAGGAACCAGAAACAGCATTACTCTGAAGTTCAGCCCAAATTCACCCCAGTGCTCCTGCAGAATTTGGGCTGAACCACCCCTAATGCTGCTCGCTGTCAAGCCAAAGCACACCGAGGTGCCCCAGGACCCCCAGAAGGGTCTGGAGAAGTACCAAAACATAGGAGTTTTGTTTGGATGTTGAGCAGCAGGCTTTAAGAAAACAGAAGCTGAAAGGGAAGCTGCTGTTGTGGCTGTGCCCACACAGAGTGAGTGACGAGCTGCTGGGGACATCAGACGCTCCCTGGCTGACAGCTCTGGGCTTCGTTGACTCCAAACATGTAAAGAGTAGTGCAGACACTACAGCATGAAAAACCCCCTTTTACCCAAATCTGCCCTCACTGCACCAGCTAAATTAAAGCTATAATAATGTATCCCAGGCTGGCGCTTTATGGTGAGCAAACATCACCTTCCTTCATTAAAAACCCCTCGTGTGCTTAGGTGAGCAGCTGTGCTAACAAAGGAAGTCTGCATAGCAAATAAATCCATTCAACTGAACTAAGAGCTTTGATTTTTTTAAAGGAAAAAACATTCCCTGTTCGTGTAAGAAGAGCTGTACATTTCATATATCAAGAAAACAACACCTATTACATACCACCTATAAAAAGATCCCAGCTGAAGGAAAATGCTTACAGTACCCAGAAGAACCCAAAAATCCAAATACAATATACAAGGTGGCACTGTTTGCTCCTTTTCTTGTAACAAATACTTTTTTAAAGTTAGGGTGAATTTTAAATATATAATTTCCTTGCTTCCATGGCACTCAAATGAATTTCTTTCTGCAAAAGAAGTCTCAGGGTATCCATCTGATTGATTATGAAATGAAGAACAGCAAGAATCAAACATTGTGGGAGTTTTACACAAACATGAAATGTTTGGGGTTTTTGTCTTTCATTTTTTTTGCCGTGGTTTTGAGCAAATGAAATGTCAGACTTTGCCACTTGTTAATTTGCTGCATGAAAATGGCACCTATGCAGTTTCAAAAGGACATTAAGCAAACAAAGAAGAAAACTGGGTTTTTTGGTTCCCACTTTCCAATGGAAAGCTTAAGGATGAGCCATTCAACTCTCTAAGAATATTACTGACCTTTCCACAAGCACTTATGGAAACTTCAGCACAAAATAAAAAAGCAAAGCATCACAATCCAGACCTCAACAGGAAGCTAAGGCTGCCTTAAAAGTATTTTTGAAAAAGCATTATTTAATAACTTAGAAATTATTTGTATTGCAGTAAATGCCTTGTCTTCTGAGCATGCAGAGATTTCAAGTTCTCTCATGACAGTAGGAAGGCTGGAAGAAAAATGCCTTTACTGCTGTATTTTTAGTAGGGGTGTGAGTTAGAAGTGAGCACCAAGCTGGCACTTGATACAGAAAATTTGCTATAAGAGCCACGATGGAGCCACCAGGAGGCATCCCCATGCTCATCCCTGCTGGATGCTTTGCTGGTGCTTGCTTTGCTGTCAGCCAGCCAGCCTCACCTCACGGCAGAAAATCCACAAATTTGTGTCTGACCCTGCAGAGCAAGACAGGCTCACAGGCTCAGAATTGTGGATTTTTTCACAATTGTAAAAATTGTGCAGAATTGTGGACCCTTTGCTGTGGTCCCTGCATTTAATCTGTGCTCACAGGCTCAGAATTGTGGATTTTCCCCCGTGCCATGGTCCCTGCCATTCAACCTGTGCTCACAGGTTCAGAATTGTGGATTTTCCCCCATGCCATGGTCCCTGCCATTCAACCTGTGCTCACAGGCTCAGAATTGTGGATTTTCCCCCGTGCCATGGTCCCTGCCATTCAATCTGTGCTCACGGGTTCAGAATTGTAGATTTTTACCCCATGCCATGGTCCCTGCCATTCAACCTGTGCTCACAGGCTCAGAATTGTGGATTTTTACCCCATGCCATGGTCCCTGCCATTCAATCAGTGCTCAAACCCAGCGGCTCGGGGATGGGAAGTGAAGGGAGCCCCCATCACAGACACAGACTGTGCACACAGGACAGGTGAGGCGTGAGCAGCTCTCCAGGTGGGCAGGTCTGCATTCAGAGCAGCAATTAGCACGTCTGCTGTGCAGGTGTCACCTCAGAATTTCTGTTTCCAGAGCAGCAGTGGCTTTCAGCGGCAGCTCAGAGCAGCCCAGGTGCAAATACCACATTAAGCAGTCTGCAGAAGCAAAGGAGCAGCCTGAATGCAGACCAAACCCAGAGCCAGGATTTGCAGCCTTGAGGAGCCACCGAACCATTCCCACGGGGCATGCTCTGAGGAATTGCCTCTGGAAAGCAGGATCCCAGCTCGTTAGCCGTGCCAGAGATCCCAGCTCGTTAGCCGTGCCAAAGATGAATTTCTCACAGAACGTCCTGACTGGGATGGTTTGGTGGCAGGCCAGCGAGTGCAGAGCATGCTTGCATAGCAATAGCATGGCAGTGGTTCCAGCACCCATCCCATGCAGGGCTCTGGGACTCGTTTGCAAGGGAAAGTGCAGGATTCAGGAAAGGAAAGGAGAATTTATGCCCTAAAATACCTGCATGCTGTCCAAGGTGTTCTGGGTGAAGTGCAAAGCAATAAATCCCAAACAAGACACAGTAAACAAAGAGATGTGAAATAAAGAAATAAAAATAGTTCTGAATCATTTTTTTACATTTCACAGCGGTCTCTTAGAACAGCTACACATGTGAAAACATGCATCAACACAAACAACACTACAGAAATCAACACTGCTGCTGATCTGGAACTGCAAAAGGCACACTAAATAAAATGCTAAAAAATAAATATGCTTGTAGCAATAAAAAGCAAAAGCTTTGGAAATCTCTGCAAATCAGAGGTTGCAGACAAATCAGCTAAATAAGAATTGTGCTCAGCTTGAGGGGGGTAAATAATCCCTTGCTTCTCTTGTTTCTGTTTTCCTGTATCATATACTTTCCACCAGGCATTAAATAATAACTTCAGCTTGGAGTCTGGAAGCTAAAACAAACATAATATCTATAATGCTAATGAAAGCCTATGAGTAAAGCACACTCTGTGGGAATATTAACTTTTATAGATAATAATAAACAAATGCTTTAGTTTTTTTAAAGTTGATCAATGCACCAGGAAAAATCCACCTTTCACCGAGTCATGGCCAGCAAGTACCCATAGAAATACTGTGGCAAGGTAAAAAGACTGGAAATTACCTTTAGATAAAAGCAGATTTCTAAATGAAGTGTTGACAGTGCACTTGCTATTAGCTATCATATTTTTGCACATTTTCTAGGAGATATACTTTAACAAAACCATTTAATGCATTTTCCTCGGGCAGAAAAATGAAAAATGAGGTGTTCTCTTCCCAGCACACCCTTTGAAGGTTTTTGAATTCTTTCATTAGATTTACAGTTTCTGCTTCTTTGGCATGTTGCTTTATGTTTAGACAGTATTTAATTAGACAGCATTTAATTAGGGACCCTAGGTAACTGATTGGTATTTGCTGCTGTATTTCCAGCCTAATAAATCAAAATTCTCATCATTAATCACTCCCTTTAATAGTATTTTACAAAAAATGGTACGAAAAAGAAACATGTATCACTTCCAACAGCTCAGCCTAATGCCCTCCTAACTGAATTATAAATCTTAAAGGCTGCAGTTATATCAGAGGAGGAAAAGTCCCCATTTGCCTACACACTCCTTGCAGTGCTCGAAGCGGTGACACTGTACATGATCCTGCCCAGGAGGGACCTGAGCCAGCCGAGGGAACCCAGAGGATCTTACCTCTAGCAACTGCACTGCTCCTTCATGTTCCTTCTTAGCTTCAACCTGAGCCTTGGTTTTGTGGGAAGCAAAAAGGAAAGGAGAGGGAAAAGGAGGAAGAAGGGAAATGCATTAGTCATGCCACAGACAATCTGCTCCAGCACACAGAGCCAGAGCTCCCATCCAGCAGGGGTGGCTGTGCCAGCTCTGCTCCGTGCTCCCAGCCCCGAATAAATGTTTATTTTGGGAGGCTGGAGCCCAGCGAGGCTTCAGAGCAGGGCTGCAGTGCTGGATCCGCACAAGCACGCTCACCACGCTGCAGCCCTCCAATCCCACCTGAGCTGCACTGGTGCTGCACGTTGCAGGGCTGGTGCTGCACACTGCAGGGCTGGTGCTGCACACTGCAGGGCTGGTGCTGCACACTGCAGGGCTCCTGCTGCACACTGCAGGGCTGGTGCTGCACGCTGCAGGGCTCCTGCTGCACACTGCAGGGCTGGTGCTGCACGCTGCAGGGCTCCTGCTGCACGCTGCAGGGCTCCTGCTGCACGCTGCAGGGAGGGAATGAACTCCTGTTTCCATTCAGAAGGTGACAGCACACCCAGGGGCTGCAGCAGGCACTGGCCCTGCCCTCAAGTGCCCAGGCTGGTGCTTCACCAGCCCGGGACAAGGTCCCAGGGTGTGCTGTGAAACGCCACCCTGGTGCTGCCCAGACTTCCTGCTCCCCTTTGGAAATACTCCTTCGAGTAAAGACAACTCCAGTAAAAAAACCAAAAGGGAAGAGAGGATCTAGCACACACGTGCTGGGTGCATTGGGAGGCCAGCTCTGATGGAATGTGAGCCATCAGCTCCTGTTAAAGCTGGCAGTGATGTGCTGTAGTTCCTTAGATAGCAGATTTATTTAAAACATTTATCTGCTGAGCTTGTTGCACTGGGTGAAACACCAAATCCAACCTGGCCGTGCCCAGTGCCTGTCGCTGCAGCCCAGCACAGGCTGCAGAAAGAGGAGCAGAGATTTGCCTCCTGCTGCCAGCCCAAAGGAGGGTTTATTAATGTAACAAAAATTAGCAAGAAATGCTGTATTTCTTTGTTTTGCTTTGATATCTTTCCTTTGCCAGGAAATTTAAGCCCAAAATTTATGAGGCAGTTCTAATAATAACAGCTGAATATAACTAGAAATGGCATCTTGGAGTGTGCCTAAGTACACTTATTGAGAAAGACTAAAAGAAAATTAACTGCAAGATTTCGTTTGGTCAACTACAGCATTCTATTTCAAGTAACTATATTAGATACGTCTTTTATCCTGCTGAGAAGGTCCCTCCATACCAATTCTCTACCAAACTCTCATTAGCAGCATTATTTGTGTTTTAATCTAGCCCAGCAATTGGAAAAATCAACATTAGCCCTGAGACAATTGCAGCTTGAAGTGACTTTGGCAAAACTGAAACTCAGCATCATAAGGTTTTTGTATTATAATGAATACTGAGAAATTGCAGTGAGAAAAAAAAAGCCTTGGAATGATTTGTGAATTAGAGAATGACCTTGGAAGTGAGGTGTTGAAGGAACTGTTCAGTTTCTGTGGTGGGCTGATGCTGGCTGGACACCAGAGCCCTGCCATACAAACATGACACATTCTTGATAAGGAAGATGATGACTGTGGTGCGTCAGTGCCCTGACAAAACTTTCTTTTTCCTAATTTACTGGAGAAAGGTAGCAAGAATTGCATGTCTGGAAGAGGAGGCCAAAGAAATCCTACCAAGCATGGCTGTGCCAGTGAGATCATTAACAGCACGCTGGAGACGGCAGAGACCTCGGATTTTCATTGTCAGGAAATTAGGATTGGATTCCTTTGTGACATTCAAGACATGCACAGGTATTACCAAGCAAACAGGGAGGGAAGAGTGGAAATGCAAAGGGAATCCATGGGACTGTGCCACTGCTATCCCTGCTGGGGAGCAGGAGAGCTCAGGCACGGTGGGTCAGGCTCCAGGAGCATCGATCAGCCCTGCAGCACAGGCAGCAGCCTCCTGCTGCATGCAGAGCAGTGCCTGCAGCCCCCAGTGCAGGCAGCAGCCTCCTGCTGCATGCAGAGCAGCGCCTGCAGCCCCCAGCGCAGGCACCAGCTGGCAGCTGGGAGGGAATTCCTGCAGCCCAGGGCATCCCACCGAGTCCTCTGTCCCTGCAGCTCCTGCTCCCACCTGCCTGTCCTGTCCCTGTCCCATCCCTGTCCCATCCCTGTCCCCTCCCGTCCCCGCTCACCTTCTGCAGCAGCTCGATCTCCTGCTGTTTGGCGTTGAGGACAGCCAAGGCTTGCTCATGCTCCAGCTCCAGCTGTTGCCGCCGCTCCGCAGCCTCTCGCATGTGCTGTGCCAGGGAGGGAGAGGGAGAGGGAGAGGGAGAGGGAGAGGGAGAGGGAGAGGGAGAGGGAGAGGGAGAGGGAGAGGGAGAGGGAGAGGGAGAGGGAGAGGGAGAGGGAGAGGGAGAGGGAGAGGGAGAGGGAGAGGGAGAGGGAGAGGGAGAGGGAGAGGGAGAGGGAGAGGGAGAGGGAGAGGGAGAGCTGTCAAGCACTGGGACAATCCAGCTGCAGCCACACGAGCCACCACACCAGGGATGCTCTGTTGCCCCCAGAGAAACCTGCCTGGCATCCTTGGGAGGCAGGAGGGAAACCGGGTGGGGCTGGAATTCAGTCAGGGCTTCAGCCAAAGGTAACTCAGGCACTTGGACATCAGCCCCACACAGCCAGGACCCGGGCTGTGACCCTGCCAGGACCCGGGCTGTGGCCCTGCCAGGACCCGGGCTGTGACCCTGCCAGGACCCGGGCTGTGGCCCTGCCAGGACCCGGCTGTGGCCCTGCCAGGACCCGGCTGTGGCCCTGCCAGGACCCGGGCTGTGGCCCTGCCAGGACCCGGGCTGTGACCCTGCCAGGACCCAGGCTGTGGCCCTGCCAGGACTCAGGCTGTGACACTGCCAGGACTCAGGTTGTGGCCCTGCCAGGACCTGGGCTGTGGCCCTGCCAGGACTGCACAGGTGAGCAGAGCCATTTCACCAGCAGTGTTCAAAGGCACAGTTCCCAGGGAGCGTTCTGCTGACAAACTAAAGCCTGGATAAAAATGGCCTTGCCGATTGCCCAGGTGCCCCTTTGTGTAGGATACGCTGTTGGATTTGTTTGGCAGACGCTGACCCAAAAGAACCAGTTTACCTTTGCTGAGCTCTGCCTATCAGCCACAGAAAATGAGGCAGAACAGAAGCAGCACAGCTGGGTTTGGGCCAAAGGCACTACACAGAACTCACAGACAGCTTCTGAGCTGTGTTTGATGCTGACGACTCAAAGCAATATCAGCAAGGTTCTGGGAAGAGCACAGGCTGCACAGTGTCAAGGCACCCTCTGCAGATAGAAATCTTTTTCATTACAGGTTAATATTACTCCCCAGCATCCCTGTAACTTTCAAACACCCTCATAATAAATGGGAGCTAAGAAAGATCTCTTTCTAGATTCTGATCTCTTCCCTGGTGAAGCTGGTATTAAAGATTTTTATTTTCCAAATTACATACTATTCCCATAATAGTCTCAGAGCAGAGGCACAGTGCCTTATCTGCAGCACGGAGTTATTACACACAAAGCTGTTAGAAATCAGCACTTGGGGAAACAAATGCATGGAGAAAATGGACAAGAACAGCCCAAAACATCTCTTATTGTCTACAAGAGAGAATTTAATCAAGCCCACTTCTAACCTGTAATGAACTGCTATTACCTGCTGCACATTACCCAGGGCACAGAGGGACAGCCAGGGAGGCCGAACCTCTCAGCCTGGACATGTTTGCAAAAAAAAAAAAAAATCAGAATTTGGCCTCTGCTTGGGATTTAGTCACTTTTTGTTTGATTATAAACAACAACATTTTCCACTTTGTAAGTTTTCACTCTCAGCTATGGCTGGTTTTCCAGGAGGGTTTGATGTTTGCCTGTAGACATTTCTGCACTGCATACTCTACAAAAGTTCATGGGGAATTTCATAATGAATTTTATAATGCCCAAGAAGAATGGCTCTGATTCTCATCTCACCTGAATGAGCATCACCCATTTTACCAACCAGTCTTCCTCGTGGCTTAAATTATCAGGAAAAAACCTCTCATTTCACTCTGTCAAGATTTAGTACCAGATCTGGAACAGCATGTTTTGACACTGTTGAGCTCTTGCTATTTTACACCAGCTACCACAGAGCATTTCCAGCTTTGAACTTCCTAATGTGTGAATCTGCACTTCCCTCTTGCACCCTTCCAGAGCTCCTAATAATGCTGTTCCACACCAGAAAGGAAACCCACAACCAAAAGAGCAGAGGAAAAACACAGCAGGGACTCCCCACCTCGGGGCAGCTGGCAGCTCCTGCTCTGTGCTCCAGGGAGGGTGCAGAATTCACCCGGGACCCGTGGGCAAAGGCACGAGCCTGCTGCTCAGCACAGAAGGAGCAGGGACACCCTGCATTTAAACTGTGATTTCAGTTAGATTTCCAGCTCTGGAGAGAGGGCTGTGGGTACAAACTGCTGCTGGAAGGGCACTTCAGAGCCCGCAGCGGTGGCTGGCTGCCCTGTGCGGGTTTGGCAGAGCAGCCCAGCCTGCCTGGGGCTGCAGGAGGAGCCCATCCCTGCCAGGGCAGAGCCCAGCCCGTGAGCAGGGCAGAGCACAGGACAGAGCCCAGCCCCGTGAGCAGGGCAGAGCTGGGCACAGGACAGAGCCCAGCCCATGAGCAGAGCTGGGCACAGGACAGAGCCCAGCCCCTGAGCAGGGCAGAGCACAGGACAGAGCCCAGCCCCGTGAGCAGAGCTGGGCACAGGACAGAGCCCAGCCCGTGAGCAGGGATGGGCACAGGACAGAGCCCAGCCCGTGACAGGGCAGAGCTCCCAGCACGGCTGCAGGGGTGCAGGTCCATCCCCCAGGGCTCTCCCCAAGCCCTGCAGCTGTGCTGGCAGCTGGCTGAGGGAGCTGCCTGCACACAGAGGCAATCAGAGCCCTGCAGCACGGGCACTGCCTGCGCTTGCAGAATCAGCTCGTTCAGCACTTCTCCATCCTCTGCTTTGCTGATACATCCCGAGTTTCTCAAAAGACAAACAGAACTGCTTTTCAGACAGGGAAACCAGGCTAAATATTTCTCACAACTTTTCTGCAGTGGCTGGGAAGCTGCAGGCCGTTTTTCCAAACTCCTGACTTGCCGGGCATATGAGGACACGCATGAACTGCACCGTGAGCTGCATCTGCTGGGCATGGCCCAGTGCTGAGAAGGAGCTGGGGGGCCTCAAGGTGCTCTGCAGCTCACGAGGGCTCTGCTCAGGGGAGAAAAGCTCTGAATGTGAAAGGCCAGGATCTCTCTATCCACCAGAGAATTTTGGGTTCAGCCCAGGAAAATTTCTGAAGCAGTTCTTAAGCAGAACAGTGAGAGGTACAGAATGTAAAGGCCACAGTGATATTTTGCAGCCAGTTGGAGTGGCAGACACAGCTCTCTGCAGTTAAATATCTGGGCAGTTTGTTCCCGCCCTCATCCTCTCTTTCTCATTTTGACTTAAATAACAGTGCAGTGCAAGGTGCCCACAAAGTGCCAGGTAAAGGTCTCTGGGTGTCTCTGAGCTGGTGTGAGACCCCTGCCAGTGCCTGGTGCTCTCCCTGCACACCCTGAGCTGAGCTGAGCTGAGCTGAGTGGGGCACAGTGCCCGGGTCTGCAGGGGCTGGAGCGATGGATTTGGGATTTATACACACCTTTAGGACCTGCTCTAGGTTCTCCAGCTTGGCTTGGAGCTGGTGTTTTCCCCTCACAGCCAAATCTCGTTCTTTGGTCACTCTGAGAAGGGCTTCTCAAAGATGGTCATAGTCTGATTTTACCTAGGGAAAACAAAACAGGGTTATTGCCCAAACTGCAGGGATGCAGGCAAAGCACAGCTGACACGAAGCTCTGCGTGTGAAAGAAGGAAGGAAAAGGTTCAGAGGGGCAGGAAAGAAGCACAGCACCTCGGAAGGGAATGCTGGCTGAGGAAGCTGTGCCTGTCTCATACACACAGAACGTTTTCTCTCAGCAGGGACTACAGTCTGGCAGCCAAACCGGAGCTACGCACAAGGCATGTCAATTTAAACAAATACACTCCATCATGCACAGAATGAATGACAATCAACACAATTCTAAATTCTCTGCATCTCAGGGCCTCAGAGGAGGGTGTGCTATACAAAGAGGCACAGATCTAACATATATATATTTAATAAAACTCAAATTTATTTTTCTTCTGGACTCTTTTAAGTGTAAACTCACTTCAGAATAAACTCAAATACACATGATCAGCCTCTGTTAACACTTGAAATCAGTGTACCTGCAATTCAAAAATCAGTATTCTTCTGCAATAAACCCCTTGCTCTCCCTTAAAACATTTCTATACCCAAGGTATTTAAAGGATCAGATACTCATAAGATTTGTTTTATGATTTAATTAATTTGGTCCTATGTTAACCAGTTCAGCAGGATCAAGTCTTTTAATACAGGATTTTGTGAATCATCAGTGACAGTGACTGCTTCATAAACAGACACAGAAAACAAGAAAATCCATTGAATTACTTTAGCCTGCCACGGAAAAGTTCTTTCTTTAATTCAGACCAGCTGAAAATTTGATTTCTTAGTGCTGATCACTCTCTGAGTTTGAGATCTGCATTGATGCCTAACAGGATTACTACAGCTTGGCTCATACCAGAAACTGCATCTTTTACAGGAAGAAAACATCAAGCAGGAATAAACACCCGGGTAAAAACCCCAGTATTATTTTCACATTCACTGCCACTTTTCTGCAGAGCTTGCAGCAGGTAAGGAGGCAAAGACATTCCTGGTGAGCTGCAGGTTTGCCCTGAGCTGCAGCCCAGGCAGGGCCAGCCCAGGGCTCGGCTCCACCTGGGGCTGGCTCCACTCCAGGCACTGACCAGTTCCTCCCCGTCTCCAGGTTAATTACTGGGTTTTGGGTTGGGTTGGGTTGGTTTTGGGTTTGTTTTGGGGTTTTTTGTTTGTCATTTTCTGATGCAGTGTTTTGGAAGCTGACTCAGCCTCTTTCTTTGCCTTCCAGCTGCAGTTTGTTAACTTGCAAATTCTGCATAGACCAAACAATCTAAATGGCTGCAGCCAGCCCTTGCATTCAGCCCTGCAGAAGGGCTCTTTGGAGTGCAGTGGACTAGAAAAAAAGAGAGGCAAAGGGAACAAATCATGTTTTCCACAAGAACTGATGCAATTGTCAACATCAGGCTTTGTTTTCTGCGCACGGATTTTGCTTTTCCCTTCCTCTCAGTTCTTTATGACAAAGAAAACCATCAAACAATGGATTTGCAGAATGTATTAACTCCTGCATCCTTCGTATGGCATTGCACTGCTCAGAGCAGTCAGTGGATATTGCTGAGGAATAACAGGTGGAAAAAGGGAACCGTGAGGTACCAGGATCAATGCTGCAATCCTCCTCTTGTCTGGCATCCTCAGCTCATTCCCTCAGGATTATGAAGCACAAGATTTTGAACAAGTTCCAAGAAGAGGTTGTTTTTTGTCAGACTTTAGATTTCCCTGTGTCCAAAACAACTCATCCCAACTGACCTCCTCTGGAAAGAAGTTTTTCTAAAACTCGCTGCCTGTCATATTCTGAATATTTTTGGGAGCAAGGCAGCAGGGTTCCCTTCTGCTCTGAGCTTCTCCCTGCAGGCAGGGAAGGGGCTCTCAGAACAAACAGCTCTTACCAGGCTGCTGATGGAATCTTGGAAAGAGATGGATTAGAGCCAGGCAGAACTGCAGGCATTTCACATCTCAGGATCTTTCATTTAGGATCCCATTGTGCCTTTGCTCAAAGCTCAGTAACACACCAATGACTTTGATCATTCCTCTGCCTTCTCTGCCTGATCAGCTTTTGGACAAGGTTTTGATTTTCAGTACTGGAAAGAACAGAACCAAATCTATCAAAGTCCTTCTGATAATTACTGTTGTTATTTCCAGAAACACTGATGTATTTCAGTATTTCTGCAGGGAATTCTCACCAGGACTTCCTCCTCTGGAGATGGTGTGTTACTCGGAATGCTGTGATACCCACATTTATTTACCCAGATGGCATCATACAGCTTGATGAGATATCATTTCCTTTTTCTCTTTTAGACAACATTTGTCCTTAAATGTGACTTCAGTGCTCCCTCCAAGCAGGCTGCTCAGAGCATATGGGATATACATGAACTTGAGAGCATATCAAACATCAGTGTTCCCAGGGGCACAAACAGCTGACCTGAATCGAGTGCATCAGACACAGCCCTGACTCCCTGGCACAAACAGGAACATTCTGTCTGTGATGCTTCTCTGCTCAACTCCTCAGCCAATCTGTTCTGCATCCTGTATCTTCACACTCACTGGCTGTGCCCTGCTTTGGGTCAGTCTGAGGGCCAGGGCTCTGCAGAGGGCCTCAGCTTCCTGGACACTGAAAACAGAGGTTTTCCTCCCAAAATCCATCCCCAGGAGCCAGCACCTCCAAAATCCATCCCCAGGAGCCTGCAGCTCCAAAATCCATCCCCAGGAGCCAGCAGCTCCAAAACCCATCCCCAGGAGCCAGCAGCTCCAAAATCCATCCCCAGGAGCCTGCAGCTCCCAAATCCATCCCCAGGAACCTGCAGCTCCAAAATCCATCCCCAGGAGCCAGCACCTCCAAAATCCATCCCCAGGAGCCAGCACCTCCAAAATCCATCCCCAGGAGCCTGCAGCTCCAAAATCCATCCCCAGGAACCTGCAGCTCCCAAATCCATCCCCAGGAACCTGCAGCTCCCAAAATCCATCCCCAGGAGCCTGCAGCTCCAAAATCCATCCCCAGGAGCTTGCAGCTCCAAAACCCATCCCCATGAACCTGCAGCTCCAAAATCCATCCCCATGAACCTGCAGCTCCAAAATCCATCCCCAGGAGCCTGCAGCTCCTGCAGGGCGAGCAGAGCTGGGTCAGTGCCACACAGCACAACTCACAAACTCTCCTCCAGCCCCGGTTGCTTGGATGGGTTGGCCTGTTTTTCAGGCCAGCTCTCGAGGGTGAAAAAGAATAAATGAATTTAGGCAGGTTTTCCCCTTCAGGGCTGAGCCCTAACTCTGTCAGAATTCTGCTCTAACCTCCCCATCAAAGCTGCAGAGTTTCACACATTCTGAACAATAAATGCAGTCTAAACTGCACAATCTATCCTCAGCCTCTGTGTGAGGGGTAAAAACCTCAGAAAGTCTCTCTGTGAGGGGGGAAACAAAAGGTTTGCTAACATGCAGGGTACAGACCAGGATGGCACATTGTTAGATTCCTTACAAGCCAGGCAGGACTCTCATGAGGAGTTTCTGGCTGTTCTGAGGCTGCTGTGTGAGAGCAGCAGTGCCAGCACCCAGAGTTTCTGCTCTGTGCCTTTCACAGTATTTAATGGATGTGAAGAAACAAGTGCCCACAGCATGATAAATCCTGACACTACAACAGTTAGAGGCATTTCTGTTTCTGACTTAGTGGCTAATGTGAGCAGCACTGACCTCTGTATTTTAAACTGGTTTCAGCAGAATTTCCCAGTGCAGCTCAAGACAAACATTACCTATAATAAAGCACTGTCAGCCATGCACGCTGTGCACTTGCTGCTGGTCAGAGAGTCACGTTTTCAGTGTCAGAGGACTGAGCCTTCATGGCATTAATGGTGCACATTACTGTGTGTCAGCTGGAGCATGCACCTGCCCAAGGGAGACCTTCTCTTTAGGTGCCTCGTGAGGCGGGTACAAAGGTGAGTGTAAACCACAATAAAGAGAAGAGAAACACGTTAGGAAAGGGAGAAACTGGTAGACCACGCTGTGCCCATGGCCAGCAGCTCCCAGTGGCCTCGTCGTGCCCGCCAGAGCTCAGGGCTGGCTCCTGCTGCACATCTGGGGTGCAGATGTGCTGAGGTGGGCCTCGCCAGCCTCTCCTCCCAGCACTCTGCCATGCAGATCTGCCAGAGAGAAATCCACACTGCAGCACACAGAGACCTTTTAGGGCACACCTGGGCACACCTGGGCACACCGGGCACAGCTGGGCACACATGGGCACACCAGGCACACCTGGGCACACCTGGGGCAGCAGGGCACACCTGGCAGAGCTGGGCACAGCTGGGCACACCAGGCACACCTGGGCACACCTGGGCACACCTGACACACCTGGCACAGCTGCTGTGCGTTACCTGGCCGTGCTGCACTGCTCGGGGGCACACGCTGGCATGCTGCAGGCTCAGGCAGTTCTCCTCCTGCACAGCATCCTTCAGCTGCTCCTCCTGCAACAGAAACAGAGGTGTCACAGCCTCGGCCCCAGCCCAGCCCAGGGCAGCTCTGCTGTGCCATTATTTGCCATTAACGAGGTGCAGAAGCACCAGATTAATCTGCAGTTCCAGGCAGCTCTGCCACAAACCCCCAGGTGTTCAGCAGATGATCTGATTGAAGATGTGCAAGCAAAGAGAGATGACCTGGCTGCACAGGCCTGGTGCCTGCACAAATAACAATAAAAATTCCCTGTGAGGAAACCAAGAGCTCAGATGTGGCTGCCTCACCTCACCCAGAGCTGGGAGGAGACAGACTCAGCCCCCAGGAAATAAAGCAGTGCAGGTGTCCAGAAGGCATTCTGAGGGCAAAAGCCAACAACTGGAATGTCCACACTTTTATATTCCCACACTTCACCTTATTTAATGTATATTTCTTTCTAATATCAGTACCAGCCACATTCTAATCCAAACAGCAGAGCCAGGGTAGAGCATCTCTGTCCTGCAGTGACAGGTCAGAAATGCAGCCACTCAAAGGGGAGGAACCTGTGCTTAAAGATCAAGGGCTTGGCTGCAGCCTCGGGAATGTATTTTTATGTATTTAGACAGCAATATAAGCTGGAAAAAAGAACAGTAAATAAAACTCAAATATACAGCCAAAGGTCAAAGTAGCAGGGTGGAAATGCTTTATCAGGCCACTCAAATCAAAATAGATGGAGCTCAGCAGCATCCTCTGACACTTGTGACTATTTTGGTTTTGCACAAGCTCCCAAAGGCAGCTGTTGGAGGCTTTATCTTGAATTCAATTCCTTGTGCAATTGCCAGTTGTGAGGTGCCAGGCACTTCTGAGCCTTCCTCTCAACTGCCACGGTGAAGCACACGTTAGCAAGTAGCACAGGAAAGTAGCTGGACATTTTCTGATGTTAACACTTAAAAACTAATGAATTCCCACAGAGACACTAACAGACATGAGTGTTTTCCACTACCACTCTTAAGGTAAAGGAAGAGCTACTCAGAAACATTGCTTGCATTTTAAATAAAAGCACTTCACAATTGGATTTGCTTCGTTTTAAAAATAGGAACTTTTCCGGGCAAATTACACTCTGTTCTAACAAAGGAAAACAAATGCAGCTTTACCCCTCTAATCAGAAGGCTGAATTTAGCATAAGAAACACCACATAAAAATAGCACTTCTTAAAAAGCACTGCTAAAAAAGGGACACAGGAACTGCAGCAGTTTCTTGGCCTTGGAAACCACCGGTGTCCTGGCAGCACAGCTGGGAGCAGATCCTGGGGAGAAACACAAACAGCTCCTTCTTGGGGAGAAACACAAGTAATTCCTTCTTGGGGAGAAACACAAGTAATTCCTTCCCAGGGAGGAAACACAAGTAATTCCTTCCCAGGGAGGAAACACAAGTAATTCCCTCTTGGGGAGGAAACACAATTCCTTCTTGGGGAGGAAAAACAATTCCTTCTCAGGGAGGAAACACAAATACTACACCAAGTATTTTGAAATCATTTGAATGGAGAGTGTGGTTTAGTGGCCCCTGCACATGCAGGAATTTCCCCTCACACCTGGTGAGAGCTCATTAGAAACTTCTCACCCACATTCTCCACCCGCTTCAATCTCTCTAGTGGCAGAACAAACAAAAATCAGGGGCTGGAAAACAGCAACAAAATCGTTCTGATCAACTGCAGGGCTGGCCAGGCACAGGCTGCAGCAGGAGCATCCTTGGCCAGGGACCTGCAGAGCACTGGGGCTTCATCTCCTGGGCAGCAGCAAGGGCAGGGCGTGGATGAGCAGCCCTGGGAGCTGGGGATGTCCCCAAAGGTCCCCTGACCCTGGGGCAGGCTGTGCTCCCCTAAAGCAGGGGGGGATGGATGAGCAGCCCTGGGAGCTGGGGATGTCCTCAGAATTCTCCTGACTCTGGGTCCCTCTCTGCTCCCTTAGCCCATCCCATTGATCCCATCCCATCCCATCGATCCCATCCCATCCCATTGATCCCATCCCATCCCATCCCATCCCATCCCATCCCATCCCATCCCATCCCATCCCATCCCAACCCATCCCATCCCATCCCACCCCATCCCAGCAGGCCGGTGCTGCTCCCCCCAGCAGGAATTGGCATTTTTTGCCCCCTGCAGACGAGGGAGCATCCCACCCCTGGCTCTGTTCGCTGATCCTGTCAGTGCAATTAGCCAGATTGGCTTCCACAAACGCCTCTCCCAAGCTTCTCCTCCTTGCCGCGCACAAGGAGCCGAGAGCAGCAAACAAAATCGGCGTTGCTGTGGAAACATCGTGCCCCAGCAGGTGAAAAACTCAGTCTTGTGGCACTAAGGAAGGATGAAAATGTACTGAACCTCAGCAGAACATCAACCACGGCTCAAAAAGCTTCGTGGCTTTTCCGAAGATTGGCAGATTTTTCTAGCAAGAAATGTAGAGATGCAAATGTTAAAAACCCTCGTGTGAACTCTGGTGACATCAGTAATTATTCAGCTGTCTCAGAGTAATTTCATTAGGCAGAAACCTACATTAATATATTGCATAAGTTTGGAAATCTCTCTGAAAAGTTAAGCTTAATTTTTAGACGTTATAAGTGACTTGAAAACAGAAGATAATTTTTCATTTCAAGACAGACAGGAGAAAAATATGCTGAATAATTTTAAGGATTAGGTGCCAGAAGCATCATTCAAAAACAGCTCTTCATGCTTCAAAAATTCAGAACAGATAATATTACAGCCTTCAAGTAAGACTGCACAATCAATTTCTCATCTGCTAGACTAAGGTGGTACACAGAAACAGAACAAATTCATGAGTAAAACAAAGTGGTTTGGACCAGTGCTTTCCCTGCATGTTCCTTTAGGGAAGGATGTACAGAACCTCACATTTCCTGACGTTTTCCCAGCCAACAGCTCTGGGCAGTGACAGAAACCCCACTCAGGGAGGTGTCTGAAAACTGTGGGGCAGTGTAAAGGATTCCTACTGCTGCTGGAATACAGGACTCCACCAAGTCAAATGCTGAAAATTTCTCCTGCTGAATTAAGGTTACAAAAAATCATCCCCAGTGCTAATAATATTTAGCTTTAGGCCTCGTCATTTTCAATTTTTCATTTAATAAAAATCAATTGTTGAGGCAGCTGTAAATGCAAAGCTCTGGAAGCTCTCAGGAAAGGCTGTGAGGAGAGGAAAAAAGGAGAAAGAAAGGAACACTGAAAAACACCAATCATAAAGAATATCTGATATTCTCCATTTCAAATTGCTGCTTATCAGAACCGAACAAAAAAGACTGCACTTGATTAAAATAAGCCTCATGTTAAAATAAAACCTCATGTGTCATCTTTGTACATAAAACTCCTGAGCCATGCACAGACAATATCAGCACCATTTCTGAACTCTCCCAGCTCATCAGTTAAAACCAAACCCAGGGTGGAAAATCTATTCTTGGAGAAAGACATGGATCTCTCACAAGGTAATTGTAATTCTCTATGCAAAACAAAACCTTGGAGAGGGTTTTTAAACTACAAAAAGAATTCCAGCACTTCAGACACTTGGGTCCAGATACTGTTAACTATATTTGTGCCTATTATCAGCTCCATTAACACATACTGTCTATTCCTATTGAACTAATTTTCAATTGTTGTTTATGTTTTCTCATGATATATTTATTTGTTCCAAGGAGTGCTGAGAGATCTTTGGTCCTCAAGCAAACTAATTAGTTTTAATAAAGCCAGAAGAAATTAGTTTAACAGATAACAAATTTTAGTGATGCTTCTGATTCGCAGTGGGCTGAGAAAGAAGTTTCATCAAAGGGGAGTATCAGCTTATCTCCCATTCCCAATAAGGATTTTGCAATTAGGCAACATCTCTAGGCACATGAAGAAATCACTGAATTATGTGTTCATATGATGGCTATCAGAGAACCTGGGGAAAAATAATCTGACAATAGGTCTGCGTGCAGCTGAAAGGGCTGGGAGTGGAGGGATCCAAGGAAATTATTCCAAACTCTTCTCCTCTGGAGATAAAATCTCCCCAGCCCGACACTGAAATGAAACTGAGCATCCCTGAATCTCCCTGATGCAGCCAGCAGCAAAAGGAGGGATGAAAGTGAAAATTAAAGATAGCCCCAGATGGCTGCACATTTATGAAGTTTTCTAGAACATAGATTTCATCTCACCGATCCTGTTCCCAGCTATCTTCTGGGGAATGGCTCCTGCCTGCAGAAGAGATTCCCTGGCACACTGAGGTGGCAGCGACCAGTGACAAAATGTCTGTCCTGGAACAGGAAAAACAGCTGGCAGAGCTCAGCAGGGCAAAGAACGTTATAGAGAAGGGAAAATAAACACCCTGGGGAAGCTGATCCTGCACATTCAGACTCCTTCTCTGGCTGCAGGGCTGGGAAAAGAGGATTGTACACTCCTGGGGTCACCCCCAGACCCTGAGACTGGGCTGACAGCCCTGCTGTGACAGAGAGCCCAGCTCTGCAAACCCAACAGCAATCACCTCCTAAGGTATGTCACAGGTAAAACCCAAACTCTGCCTGTGCAGGGTAGGACCCAGGTAAAACCCAAACTCCTGCCTGTGCCTGCAGGGTGGGACTTGGGTAAAACCCAAACTCCTGCCTGTGCAAGAGAGAACGCAGGTAAAACCCAAACTCCTGCCTGTGCAAGGTGGGACCCAGGTAAAATTTACCTGCCTGTGCAAGGTGGGACCCAGGTTTCCCTCTCCCTCCTGGGACACTCGGAGCTCCCAGTGCAGGGCCCAGTGCTGAATTTCTCCTTCCCCACAGCAGCACTGAGAGGGGTTTGATTCTCCCCCAAATCCGCGTATCCCTCATTAGCCATCCTTTCCCTCCTTAGGGGCTTGCTGTTGTTCTATTTTCTAAGCTCCCAGCAAATTAACACTAAATTGAATTCCACAGAAAAGTTGTTACAGGCTTTCTCCCCCACGCCTGATTTAATCACATTTTCTTCTCCTTCAATTTACGCTACATTTAATCGTGGAAATAATTTCTAAGATTG